AACTGATGCCGGAAAGCTTCGAATGAATACAGGAGCTCCTTACAATTCCTGTACCATAGAAGCGCTGAGCCTTGCAGCAGCTCCGGCAGCGCTCTGAGCAGGTCCTCTGATGATATAGAGTAGGACCCCCTCAGCTCTTCAAGACGCTCCAGGAATGATACAGGGTCTCTACGGCCATCAAACTTTAAACCCCACTTCCGTACCGTGTTGCATACTTTGGAGCAATCCTTTGGCTCCACCCTGCTGGCCTCATTTGAGAGCATATCCGAGCCTCGTGGCAGCTCCAAGCTAGAAGGCCGGGCTGGTCTCTCAGAAATATCATTGGGCCGCTGCCATCCCTCGGGTCTACTAGGTAACCCAAAGGTAGGCATTGGAGCAGCCACAACAGGGGACGTAGGGTTGGCGGGTCTTTCGAACCCATAGCCGACCCCATTACTCGGCGAGCCTCTCGCCTGTCGCACCACCGATGCCAGATGTTCTCTAAGAGTCCGGGTATCAGTCTCCAAAGACAACCCAAGGATCTCTTTAACCACCTCTAACTCCCTGCTAAGTCCCACTATCTCTGCTTGATTCGATTCCGCATTACCCAGTACCTGAGGTACGGTTCTCGGGGGGTCAGGAAGCTCCACAGTTGTAGTAGCCGGCGGTACATATGTCGGTGCAGCAGCCCCAGCCGTACACAGCCTCTCATCGCTGTACCGACGGGCACTCCGCTGCTTCCAAAACGACGAGAATCTCTGCCGTAATTCCGCAGAAGTTCCAGTGGTCACCAAACCATACTGGTCCATCGTCCTCATGAGCTCCCCTTTCGAGAGGTCATATATCCAACCCACGCGACCGTCCCGGGGCTGCGACCCCAAGGACATAGTCGCTGGCGCGGAATAAGTCAGAGACGTTGTCACCGTCGTAGCCACTACCGAAGAAATTGTCGGCCAAACGGGCGAAGACGCCGGCCACAATGACGTTGTCGTCATCACCGACAGTTCGGAGCTAACCCCAGAACTAGTCGTAGCAATAGCAGACGTAATAGGCGTACCGCCCAGCACGGACGTCGTACTCGTAGTCACAACCATATTTAAAATTCAAATACCACGACTAATCCGCAAAAATAAGAGCGAAACCGATTAAAATCTATTTAACACCGTACTATAAATCAAACCAAATATAGGTGTGAAAGTCAAACCACAAATACACAATAAGGGTTCTCACTCAAATAATATTCAATAATAAAGCTCAATTAATTAGCAAAATAATAAATCAAACCAATTATAGGTGTGAAAGTCAAACCACAATTACACAATAAGGGTTCTCACTCAAATAATATTCAACACTAAAGCTCAATTAATTAGCAAAATAATATTTACCAACTAATATCTATGTATACAACCACTAAATAAATTAGGGTTCACAACACGCCACGCTGTAACAGAAAACAGGTTAGGCCTACCCAACCGACTACAAAATCACAGCAGGTCTGCCTAAAACTCTGCTCAACAGCTCAGGTCCGCAGCCAATCTGCACAAGTCCACAGCAAATCTGCACAAATAAAATTATTTTGTTCGGGCGCCGTTAATACGTCAGCAACTCAGCACCACTGCCAACCTCAGTCCCTGTTCGCAGGCGCCATCTTGCGACGATGTTTTCTGCACTAGGAAAATATAGTATTAAAAGTGCATGCAGTCGCAACCGTTTGCCGGGGATAGCTCAGCCTACAATGGCTGGGTAAAATTCCAGGGTCTGCGATAAGGTCAGGGAAACCACTAGGCCAAAAGCCGGGTCTAACCGGTATAGGACTGGCTCATACACGGGCACTGTGAACAAGTCAAAAACAAGTCACCAAAACAAACGTGCAATAATCACTACCAGGCCTACGCCGATTCTCCACTCTCCTAGGGGGTCGTTGCTGACTACGCAACTCGGGCTTCGTCCTAACTATCCAATAGTTAAGCCCAGAGTGCCTAAAACACGGTGAGTTACACGGCGACTTGCTAATAAAAACCACAACGCGTGTTATCACCAGGCGGGGTCTACTAGGCCACTATAATCCAATACACAACTCTATTGCCCAAGCTAACAATTAAACAGTTCACTCAATAATAATACCAGATAACAATACAAGTGCACAATAGGTAGAGTGACTACACCACTAGTAGCTGGTCTCCATAAATACCAAGCCAAACAAGCAAAACTAAATGGCAATTGCACTATTAAAATATTGAGCTACTTAGTAGCAGATAAATAAATATTAACTACGTTCCAAACACTAGATAAATATATTATCTGATAGCCGGTACTCCGCTACCCAAGCTACCGAGATAACGTGTTGGACTACCAAACAAGCTGTTCAGGTTAAATTAAAATAATCAAATGAATAAACAATAACAACCCTACTACTGCTACTGCTACTACCAACTTTATGTTACTTAGCTGGGCTTCTGTTAATAGGCTAATAATATTAGCTACTAGCCTACTGGCCACGTGTTTCCAACTACGCACGCTAAATCGTGCAGCCTAGGTTTGTCGGGCCTCAGAGTTATTAGTAATATAACTAACTCTTGGTACAACGCAAAATAATAACTACTACAGTCAATAAATTATATTATTTGCGCTCCAGCACCTGCCCAGAACCGTCAGGAATACACTTTAATATTATTCCTGACTAATATAAATCCTAACTACTGACAGGCTTTGACCAGCACGGTTACAACTCTAACTCTCTAACTCTCTTAAACCAAAATATAATAAAACGTCGTCCACTCACCACAAGTGGGTTACTGACTCACTACCCAACTTGAATGCCGACACTCACTCCTTGAGCACCAATATCACACGACACCGTACACTTCTCTGTACCACCCACGTACGCCGTCCGTCTCCACTGGACACCAACACTGCCTTCTTCACTGTACGGGATCCACCACTAGAATGTCCGTCCTAGGCTATCCTGAGAAACTAGGATATCCCAGGCTTATCGGCACTGATAAGCCGGGTCAAAGGGCGCTCGCTAGCTTCGCCGCCGCTGCTTGCTGATGCCAGCAATAGGTGCGCGGCCAAAAAGCAAATATTTACCCCCCTAGGAAAAATAACTCGTTACAAAATAATAGTTGGGGAGCTGAATTTTGAAACAGAAGAAGGTAAGTTAAATTTATTATAATTATGAACTTCACAATACTGTATCCAAAATATAACTATAAATATAATAATAAAACTTTTGATTTTAATTTGTATGTGCTTTTTCATTGTGACTCCTGCTCCATCAACAATACCTTATACCTTATAACCTTTCTCATTGTTAGCAAATTTAACAAAACTGTGCAATATCTTTGAATAGTTTTCCTTAATATGCTATTATATCATTGTCTTTTAAGAATAAGCCGGTTTTCGTGATGTAATGTAAGAATAATTAAATAAACGAAACCAGTTAACTAACTTACAGGTTATGTCCATGTCTATAAAAGACTTGTTATTATTATGAGGAGGAGGAAAAAAGGTATATCATAATAATTAAATTGTCATGCAGGAAAAATAATAAAGTTGAGAAGGAACGGAGCTATTTGTAATATAACGGTTTCGCCTAACCTATTCTATACTTTTTGTCACAGTTGTATTGAACATTATCCCAAACAGTTCCGTGTAACTGTTCCAAAGGTTCTAAAAAAAGGGAGGTGAAATACTGCGGTGAGAAGGTCGTCGAACGACCGACTACGGACGGACTAGTCTGTCAGTCCGCTCCGCTGTCGACAGCCTCCCTCAGTACTCACTCAGCCAGCCTGACCTGGGGCCCTATTTTTGAAATGGTTGACAGTTGAGTCTACCGTCAACACTCAACTCAACCAACAACAGGATTTGGTATTTTTGAAATCCAACAGGTTGGAAGTGAGTTAGGAATCACTAGTTGAGTGACTTGTTTTGGAAATGTAGGCATACGACCGTACGAAATTCAGATGACGTCATTTTGAACCAATCACAATGCAGAGTTCTTGCGATCTTCGATTTAACCTCTTCTTACTCTAAAATCTGGCAGCTAATCTCAATCTACCATATTTCGAGACACTGAGGTAAACTGTCAACTCCGTTCTTGAGAGATTGAGGTTATGTCTTGCTTAATCTTAGTGATTGCAAAAGTACCTTAATATAAACTTAAGTATTAAAAATAAAATTTACTATGGATGTTTGTTTTAGGGTGTAGCTCATTATAAGTTTAGGCATATCCTAAATACATTATTATTTGCTTTCTTCGTCTCTATTTCAGAACACATCACCTTATTTTAGTTTCCTTCATCGTTTTGTTTCATGTTATTTTTAATTAGTTTTTTTTATTTAGGCTAAAGCTTAAATGGCTATTTGCCCTTGCACTGAAAGCATATCGTAACTTATTAATTTGATCCCTTTATTAGGTGAATGGTATTGAAACAAACTATGATATTGTTTCTCTTTACCACAATCTTTAATACCTTAAATCATAGGTCTAACAACAATAATTATCTTATAATAAGTTAAATTAGTATGCCTAGTCTATTTCAAACATACCAACAAGGATAAAACCCTTGATTAAATAGTCTAGTATTGACACAGTAAATAAATTAAAATGCAATTAATTACAGAAAACAATCGAATAAAGTATTGGGTGCTAAGACATTGACAACAAATACATAACCTCTAAATCGCAATTAGTAATTTTAATTAAAGCAATAGCAATATGGCGTCGACTCAAAAAGAGCAATTTTTGCCGAAAGAGGAAGAAGAAAGTGCAGTCAACCGTCCACTCAACAGCTCAGTAGGTGGTGAGTAGTTTTGGTTGGATAAGTCCAACGTCAATCGTTTCAAAAATACGAAACGATTGGAAATAGAATGACTCAACACACAACTCAACAGTCAACCATTTCAAAAATAGGGCCCCTGACACTGACAGCACTCAGCAGTGACAGCGAGCTTGAGTCCGGGAGTCCCTTGAGTTGAGTTGAGAGTTGAGACTTGAGTTGAGAGAGATAGTGCATAACATAGTTCGTAGTCGTACAGAAAGTAAAATGTAATTTACATATTGATCAATATTATTATCTCTGTAATGTTTTATATGAAATGTTAACCATTTCAGATAAATTTACTCAGTTCATAATCACAAATCAGGTTCTACACTACCTGTTGAATTGCACACAGTCTCTTTGTGAAAGCAGGTAGGCCCTAATAACCTTAAATTTTCTAGAAGATTGATAAACGGAACTACACCCAAGTTGCGTAAACATACTGTATTCAAGCTATTTTTTCCTAACTTGTCAGTTAGGGCCTAAGTTGTTTTAGAACATAATGATTTAAAAAATGCATAACCGATTCAACTAACTTGGTTAATAGGCTAGGGCATATAAATGTCTTTGTATAAACACTGTAACCTGGTTCTGTTCTGTCATAGTGTTTACTATTTATCATTATGTTTATAACACATTAGGCTACATAGCCTATTCAACCCTTTCAGACCCAGCACACTCATTTTTAAGTCCTGACAACCTAACCAACATGATTGTGTAGGTTAGATGTTTATTTTTTTTTGAAGTTTCTGGATCTTTCTGTTGCTCAGACCTGAAATATTCATCTAAAAATATTCTACAATCATTGTTCACTCTTATATATTTGGGTTAAAATACATACCTAGGTGGCGTTCCCACATGACAATCAATTGATAATTACCTAGCCTATGCATTTTGGAGAGCATGGTGGTCTAGTGGAAGAGCATGAAACTTCGATTCCTGAGGTTCCGGGTTCAAATCCTGCCAAATCAACCAATGGATTTTATCTAAGTGATTGACTACCTATACCAAAACACCTAGGTTTAGCCTGAGATAACTTAGGTTATGTAAAAACGATCCAAGAATTTTTGAGATTGTTATTTCTCTGCATTTAACAGACTAAGCTACTTTAATAGCACAAAAGCCTTCTGTAGGCCTACCTAACTTCGAAACACTTGATACAGCCACAAATCCGGATAAAGTCGGACATCTGCCAACCCATATCCCTAAATAAGATCTGAGCATTAGTCTCCAGTGTTCAGTGCTCAGTTGTGTTGATCAATTGATGCTGTTGATCGTTCGTTACATTTGTACTTAAATGCCTTTGCATTAACTTTTTATCCTCTATTCTCCTCATCAGTTTTCCTATATTCATTCCTGTTTAGTTTAACAGTGGAGCAAGTAAATTATACTTGAATGTAAACAAAAGAAATCACAACTTTACCTCCATCCCGTAAGTTTAACTTGGTTTGGCTAATATTTGTGAGCTCGGACAAACCTTTGCACCGTTATTCTAATATAATCTAGGTGTGGTGATATAAATCAATATAGGTCCCCATGGTCACATTTTTAAAGTAATTCTGCTTAAAAATCTAGTAGGCCTAGTTTAGGATTGCAAATATAGGCCTAGGTATCAGTTTAGCCTACTTACTTGTTTAGCCTCCATTTTAAATTTATGCTACCAAAACATGACCTGATGCTTACAGATGGTTGCAGACCTGTGAAGTACCATGAGGGTGAATCTGAAGATGTCCGTAGTGTGTCTGAGTGCGGTTGGAGTGTTGGTAACACTGTCAGTTTGGAGTCGATGTGGTGGTGATTTGAGAGCCTTTGCACATCATCTTCGAGATAATGACCAGGTAACATACATTCATGATCGATCTAAAATCTAAAAACTATAACTCATGTGACAGTTTATAGAGTTAACAATTCATAGTATACATTTTAGTACCGGTAGCCTACATTATGGCAAATAAACACATTTGGTTTGAAATAGTAGATACGGTAATGAGTTTAATCATTTGGATTATAGGCGTAAAATTATTAAGTGTAGGCCTTTTAAATTAACGAGATTTTCCCTAGAGCTCAGTTAATAACACAAGACAGTAAGGTGTACAAAATTTGTGTTTTTTTAATTGGTTAGCTTGAAGAATAGTGCAGCATAAGAAAAAATATCTTCACAAGAACTAGGCTAAATGTGTATTTTCAAGATTCAAGATCTTTATTTGTCATTAAGCAATACAAGTATTACAATAGACATCGTCAAAGTTTTTTCTTTTTTTTTCTAATAATACATACAGTTAATTTCCTGTTAGAGTAGGCCTAACATCAAGAATGCACCAAGTGAGTAGCAATCACTCTTTAAAAAATAACAGTTAAACATAATTAACTCTAAAATAAATAAATTAACAATTAACATGTCAATGATCAAAAATAAAATCTGTAAATATAATAACAATAAAATCTTTAAATATAATAACAATTAAATATTTAAATATATTAATATTAACATTGATGTTCTAAAAACATAGGGAACTAATATCACAGGCCAGATAATCGTCTATGGAATAAAAAACATTTTCCTTAAGCCATTGTTTTATGATAGAAACAAATTGTTTAAAGGGTACAATCCATGCCTTTTTTGGCAATTTATTGAATAGTTGTATCTTCATACATATGTGGCTGCTCTTTGTTTTTTCCAATCTTACAAAAGCTAAATCTAATTGATAGTTATTCCTAGTATAGTACTGATGAGTTTCGTTTCTAGTTGTAAAATTTTTCAAAGACTCCTTAACATCTATTAGACAACAGTAAATATATAGATTAGGCAAAGTCATTATTTGTAATTCTTTGAATATTGGTTTACAAGACTGTCTTTGTGGTATATTCTTGATTGCTCTCAGTGCCTTTTTTTGCCATCCAAGAGCAGTCTGTGCACTGCAAGAGTTGCCCCATAAGGTTATACCATATCGTAGATGGGAATGAAAAAAAGCATAGTATGCAGTAATCAGCATATCTGCAGTAACACAGTGTCTTAGTTTTCTGGGAAGACAAACCACTCTGGCCAGTTTCTTACACAATTGCTCTAAGTGACTATCCCAACTTAGTCTGCTGTCTAAATATATGCCTAGCAACTTCACAGATTTAATATCCTTATAAATAGAGTAGTTAAGAGTAAAAATTATATTTTCAGTTTTCTGATTATTTACAATTAAATGATTGGATTGGAACCATTCTTGTGCAACTTCTAAAGCCTGACTCTCAGTTTTTTTAAGTTCCTTTAAATCTTTATGGCTGTTTAGGAGTGTTGTATCATCTGCATAAAAAGCAGAGGTACAAGGAATATTGAAAGAGAAATCATCAACTGCAATGATAAATAGTAGTGGCCCAAGCACTGACCCCTGGGGTACACCATTTTCAATTTTCTTAAAGCTAGATTTGTCTTTGCCCTGTATTACCATTTGCTCTCTGTCACTTAAATAAGAAGCTAACAAATTCAACTCTTGGTCCCTTATACCATAGCTGTACAGTTTCTTAATAAGAAGCTCATGTTGCATACAGTCAAAAGCTTTTGTTAAATCAATTAGTAATGCGGACGAAAGAAGTTTATTTTCAAAGTTCATTAAAAGTTTACTGACAATACTTTCTACTGCTTTGCATGTACTTACCTTGCATAAAACCAAACTGTTCATCACAAAATAGATCATTATTGATAAAATATGTATTGAGCTGTGCTTATGCAGGTTTCAAAGATCTTACTTAGTATGGGTACAAGAGAGATTGGCCGGTAACTGGATGGGTTTTTTTTTCTCACCTTTTTTTATAAATTGGCATTACCTTACAAAGTTTAAGTTTTTTAGGGTATATACCCTGATCCATCATTTTATTGAAGAGAAATGTTAATGGCTCTACTATTTCATTAATAATTTCTTTGATAACCCTATTAGAAAAACCATAATAATCTTCACTTCGTGAAGATTACCATGGTGGGGCAACCAAGACATCGCCTAAGTTTATATGAAAAATCTCCTATTTTATGGGTTTAAGGCTTTACAACAGTCTACCCACTGACTTCAAAGAAATTGAACAGTGTCTCAAAATTAAATAATGATTTTAAACAATAAGGAAAAATTGAAAAATTATTATATTCATTTTCCGAATATTTAGATGATAAGTAAATGTATTTTAGTTTAGGTAAATGTCATTTTAGTTTTATTTTGTATTGTTAAAAATATGACAAAGTCAACTGTTTCACCAGCTACGTTGGATTTGTGAAATGTTTTGAGACCATAAAGTAGGTAGTAGCAGTCAATAACAGTTTCAAATTTCCCAACCCAAAATCCCAACTCATGTTTTCAAATACTCAAAATTCCCAGCTTTTACACTTTTTCACAGGTCCCCAACAGGGTTGCCACCCGTCCCGATTCTGCCGGGACTGTCCCGATTTTGGTTCCTTATGCCCGTATTTAAGCCTATGTCAATCCGGGAGGGAGGGGGGTAATGTCCCGATTTTTCTCTGACCTAAGTTTGCAACCCTGATCCCCACCCAGTCACAAGGTGGGGTGACTCCTCCCTACCTCCCTGGGCGATGTCCCTGAATGTACATAGAAATAATGAAATATAAAAGGGTAGTTTTATTCATTGATTTTTAATTCCACACGCTTGTAAATAAGTTACTGGTGAGATTTTCCAAAGGAGATTTTGAAAAATGTCAACACAGACTGCATTTGTTGCAGTGATAGATTTAACATGGAATATTGTGGTTATAGGAATGATGTTTACGAGGTTTTGTTCTTCTAGGATGGACAGAGTGAGCGCTCTGGCAACGAAGGACAAGGGTTTGAAGAACTCGATTGCAACATTAATGGAGAATACACGATTGGCTGCCGAAGAGAAGGAGAAGAAGTTTATATACCTTTTTCATTTCTTCATAAGTACTTTGAGGTAGGCTTCTGTTTTTAAAGTTTTTAATACCTAATAAGTGTATTTATTGGTTAGCATAATACAATAGATGAGGTGACCACAGTATCATATATTATACCTATTGTTAAACTCAAATCCATTATAATTACCAAACAATTTGAATCAATTATTCCTAGTTTACCTGTAGGCTATTAGATTCTAAGTTTTTGATTTTTGTACAATACTGGTGAGTAAAATTAATTTAAGGGTTTTAAAATACTAAAAATTTAGATAGAGACAACTATAAATTAGACTATATGGAAATTACATTATCTGATAAGATTTCAATTAATGTTGCCAAATTAACGTTAAATAGAATAAGAAATGTCACCTTGTACTTGACCGCTATTGAGACGTTTAGGCCTGCTCAAGAACAATTCACTCGTGTCAGTAAAACCTTTTTCAAGGCGAGGTGAACAATTGCATATTTAAATGTACCTTACATGGATGGTTTGCTCATAGATTAAATAGAAAATGATAATGAAGTTATTGTAAGTCTAAACTCAATGTTTGTAGGTATATGGCAAGCTAGCAACGTATGATGGATATGAAAGGTTTGAATGGTCCCACTCTTACTCCAAGGTCTACTACCCCAAGTCTAGATACGAGCCTCGCGGCGTCTTTCTGTACTTTGAGAATTACAATGTCGAACTCAGAGAACGAGTCAAATGTATCAGTGCTATTGAAGGTTAGTTTCATTTAAGTTTTTACCAAGAGAATAACAACATCATTGAAATTGTTGAAGCAGTAGAACTAGAGCTACTGTACCATCGAATCAATGTTGAAATATCTCAATTAGCACAAAAATAGTTTTGACATCAAATCATTGTGTAGTGTTGCACACTGCATACCACACCGAGTTAAGGTACAGTAGAACCTCCATAGCAAGACTCATGGGGATTATTAAATAAGACTTGTTATCATTTTGACTTCTTATTGAGGTCAGGGCCGGATTTCCCAATAGGCCCGGTAGGCCCGGGCCTATGGGCGCAAGCTCCCAGAGGGCGCACGGCCGAGAGGATTTTTTTTAAATATGTAAAAATAAAAATAAATAGTCATAGTTGATAAGAAAATCTCTGGCTAGTAAAGCATTCTGATTCTGAAGTTCATAGGTAGAAATAATTGTTAGAAAATGTAAACTATTTTACAGAATTTTGCATCACTTTCGTTACAACATTGGTAACGGACATTGGTTATACGGGAGTAGGCTGTAGGGATGTTGCCGTTGACGAGCGCCCGAGCGGTACGGTATGTATCGTATTGCCACTGCACTGCCACTATGCTGGCCTGGCGCTACTGATCGGAGGAATTAGGGGAGTATGCATTCTAGACACTGTTACCACCCTCACCTTACAAAACAAAAGTTATTACCAATCTTTTGAATAGTTTACAACAATCTGCATGATCAAGTTAAAATATATATATAATACGTTGTGTTGAATATTAAAAAAATGATGAATTAATCTTTAAAATTAACAAAAAAATATTAATATTAGTTTGCAATTGTTTTTAGAAAAATTCTATACCCTCCAAAGCCCTACTGTACGCCCCTGCACGATATAGTTTTAAATAAAGGTTTGAAGGAAAGTAACTGTGGCCAGACTAGGGGGCGGGAAATTATTTGGGCCTAGGGGCGCCAAAATGCTAAATCCGGCCCTGATTGAGGTTTGAAATAACATGTGATTAGGGGTAAAATAAATTCTAGGGGATTTGAAAATGACACTTGTTATGTTAGCAACATAACCTATTGTCATTTTTTGTGTAAGCTTGTTTACATAGTGAGGCATTGGGATACTTGTAAAATCATACAATGGTGTCATCATCAAAGCCAAACAAACCTAAAAATCTTTGACTCATGGAAAAAAAACAGCATTTTATAATAAATTGAAATATAAATTTAGTGTTTTCAGTTTTCATGTATATTACTAATGCCACTTGTTGTCAACTGTACAGTGTGTTTATTTTTAACTTGTTTTGTTGAATTAAATTCTTAATTCTTGATGAACTCTTAAATTTACTGAAAACAGTAGAACCCCACTAATCCGACCTTGGCTAGTCCGACCCCTCGCTTAATCTGACTATGCCATCGCTTATCGATGACAATTTTATCGTGGTAATACTGTTGGTCATGTGTTCATCATCACGCTCTCTCACAATCGAGACAAAAATCTTGCTTATCCCCTACAATCACGTACACATTATCATTGACCGATATCTCTAGTCCCAATTCTTTCTAAAATATGAAACACTGATCACACTAACAAATGTATTCATATTTTGAAAAAAAAATAACTTGTTCAGTGACAATCAAGGCCTTGCAAAACAAAATTACAGATATTTTTAATGGCTTTGATACTAAAATTAATATGTCTGCTTCATTAGTAGATTTGGCTAAAGCTTTTGACTGTCTCTCATGAAATTCTTATTAAAAATTAGCTTTTTATGGAGTAGCTTAAAAATCATTAAATCTGTTACGCTCATATTTAGCGATCCTTTTTCAGCTGGTGCAGGTAAATAGTTCAAGATGTAATATGTTGAAAATAAAAATTGGCATACCTCAAGGATCAGTCCTTGGGCCTCTACTATTTATTGTTTATATTTATCTCAATCCTTTTTACTTGTAAACATTTCAAAATGTACTAACCTTACTGCATGCCTATGAAGGTGTGCCAGTGTCTACCCAGTGGGAGAGTCAAGGCTACTTCTACCCAACGCAGATCGCCCAGTTTGGTTTGTCTCACTACAGCAAAAACCTGACGGAGCCAGAGCCGAGACGCAAGATTCTCGAGGAAGGCAGCGGAGCCACTCCGGACTGGACGATTGGTCCTGGTGCCATTGCTGTGAGAAGTATGGAGCAGCCTCGCCACTCTCATGTGCTCAAGTTTCAAACTTCCTCTGGTAAGAACTTGACTTGTTGACAGTGAAAATTCAGAATGTCCCTCTCTACGTCTCTGAGGATACGTTATCAAATTCCCCTGGCCCTTATCAAATTCACAAAATATACAAGTTTGAGTTAGCCATGTTTAACGAGATGGACACCTAAAAAAACCCCTCTCTCACCTGGTATATTTTTCAAGCACTGTAGAGTCCCGCTATCCAAACCCCATTGTTTTCAGATATTCAAATATTCACCGATTCAGATATTAACATACAAAAAAAATGTTATGTCTGTGGGGTTTTTGTGTGGTTTGCACCAACAAAATGTTGTTGGTGGTTCAGATATTATTTTTTTTTCCTTAAGGTACAGTTGATATTAACTTGACCGAGTTGCGGAGTGTTCACTTGGTTTGCTTTTTACAGAGGCTGGTATCAGCCTAGTGGTAGACCACGTGTTGGACTTTGTCCTGAGTGCAGATGTTCGGCTGTCAGTTGAAGACAACTCGTCTCTGGCCGTAACACTGCACAATCGTGAGAAGAAGCAAGTCTGGACTTTGCACTACACCTGCTCCAATCAGCTGCTGGATGCCCAAGTATATAACTTACATAATACCATGATGATAACGCTATTCCTCTAATTCATATACATATATATATGTAAATAATAGTAATTATTAAAATAAAGCGACAAACTTTTTCCCCCTTGATTGATTTAAGTAGCAATTAACTTAAAAAATCTTTTATATCACCTACTATCTTTATGGATGGTTTTATATGATGAACAAAGCAAATTAATTTGTGTTTTCTATATTTTTCAGGAGCAAAACATTTTCTACGGACTCGGCTGTCAGCACCATAGTGATTGGCATCACATTACGAGAGATTTGCTCGTGGATTTGCAGAAAGGCTTGGTATTGCTCAACATGGGGAAGCGCAAGATATCTCGATCTAAATTCAAAGTAAGGCAGTTTTCTCCCGCTACTACAGGAAACCAAAATTTTTTGCATTCCCTATTCAAATTCCTTCAGTTAGATGAGCATTTTTTAAATACCGTTATGAAAAACTTGCACTTTTAAGTCTATTAATTACAAGCCAATGGGGTGCAAGTTTAGAGTATTCTTCATACAAGGAGGCAATTATGACCACTGTTCAAACTTCATACACATGATACTATTAACAGGGTGTATTAACGGGGGGTGTACAGCTGACGTGGAAAATCGGGAATCGTGAATTTTGGTGACTGGAAAAAATACTGAGAATTGTGTATGAATTTTGTGCAGGACAAGAAAATTCCTGCCATTTGTTTTCTTTTTGCGTTATCTTGTCAAGTAAAAAATGGTGATTGGAAAATGATATTGATGTTGCCAGGTTTGGGAAAGTCGCTGCAATTGCATGAAATCAACAGAATTAAGAATGAAATCCTCATATGTTATTATATTTCATACAGTAATAATTGGTGTAAGTATGGAGATTATCGCGAGGGTTGAATTGGTAAAGTTCTCCTCCAAAATGAGTTGTTACGCTTTATATTTTAAATTGTTATTACAGTATCATCACAACCTGTTGAAAGTCAAGTAGGCTATGTAGGCTATCATTGTTTGATTTGACGCCATTGTAAATGGGTTCTCTACAGAGTTTTGTCATGTCAGGTGGGGACCATCACTCTAACTGGATCTGGTATGTTGGACAACCTGACTCTGTCGTCCAGCGAGCACATGTCGCAGTTCTACGCGGCTGCACGGTGGTTCGTACATCATCAGGACCCAGACACAGGTGGCTGGCCCAATCCTGTCCGGCGTCGTGGCGTGCAAGGCATGCGCGATTTGCAACCGGGCTGGTATGTAACACACCTTATTGTTTAGCAGTTGAAATGTTGATTTTAGAGGTCATTTGAATAGAGATTGAGAAGTTTGATCAACAATAAAATCTAAAATTACTTACAGAACTCTAGTTATTTACTTTTATTCTGTAACCACTACAGAATTCTTGTACGTAATTTATTTTCTGCAGTTAGCAGGTCTGATGCCTTGTTTTGTGAATTTGCTGCCGTCCAGTTTAGTGCAATTTGTAACATCACAGAACAAATACTTTGTATCCCTTGGATTATGGAAATGGTCACTGACTATATCCCTTCGAGCGTCCATCGTCGAAAAATCGACGCGCTACACACTTTGTGTAGTGTCACGCGTCGATTTTTCGACGCACGAACATCGTTTACGGCGTAGGCTCTATGACTGACTGAATCGGATTGAACTGGATCGAGTTAGGTATCGTTCTTTCCGTTATATTCTAAGCTTTCTCCAGAGGTCTGTCTCAGCGCTGTATGTTCTCCGAGCCGATCGTAATTGTAGCAGACAGCTGACGTGCGTATTCGTAAACAGCTTGGTTATCCTCGGACCGATGACTGATGTGTTTTATTACGTTTTTGTTTTAGTGTTAAAAATCAAAAGTAGTGATATACTTGGTGCATTATAAGAAGATTTAAGTGATTTTGAAGGGCTGGTTGATGATCCTGAAGAAGTAGGTAGTGATATTGATGTAAATTATCAGCCAGATTCCTAGCTATGGTTAGGCTATGCATTCTTAGCTAAACGCTATGTACTGAAATCCGTTTTTCACTCATAACTTATTTATTTGATAACTTACCTCACTATATGATTATATATTTGTAATCCTCATTAAATTTAGAACAAAGTGGCTATTTTCAAATATTTATAGGCCTATAATTTATACAATTTCATTGAGCGCGAACTTATTTTTTTTTTTTTCAATTTTTCCAAAATAATTTTTTTTTTACCTAAAAATTTTTTTTGAAACAAATATTCCTTATGTTTTATGTATGATATTGAAGCCCATGATTTTCCAAACAAAATGGTATATAGAACATTAGAATTAACATTGTTTTAAGCTTCTCAGATCTGTTTTAATAAAACCTTGCAAATGCGCCAAAAATAGGTGGACATTAAGGCCTAAACTATGGACAATTGGAGGGATATAAGGTTTCAATACGGTACCACAAAACCTTAGTTCGCGGAGTTGTTGTCAACTGGTTTTATATTGGAAAAACTCCTGATATGCTGCCCAATACCAGAGAGTCATTCAGAAATCCAACTTAGTTCCGCTGGATCAGCAAGACAGGTGGTACGAGGCTGTTAAAGACTTGATCCATTCACAAGAGCCTTTTCAAGTAGGCCTACCCTAGTACCTAGGGGGGGTTGGTTTCTTCATAACATACCTAGCAGCTACTTGGCTGTTTAGGAAACTACCGCTCCTTCAACATGCATTGTGCTCGGTTGATCTTCTTACTTCACATTTTAAAATGAGATGTGATTCCAGGTTGTCAGCAATGGGCCAAGGGCACGGCATTTCTGTGCTTGCTCGAGCGTACTACCACTCAGGTGGTGATCGTCAGTACCTGGACGCTGCGCTCAAAGCACTCAAGCCATTCAGAGTGCTAAGTAAAGACGGGGGAGTTTTGGCTCTGTTTTTAGGCCAGGTAAGTGTTTTTTTTTTTTTTTTTTTTTTTTTTTACATTAACCTATGTGGTACTTGTGGTAGTAATATATAAGGCAAATTTCATTAGGAAAGTAATCCTCATGTCATTACATTTTAGATAGTAACAATTGGTGTAGGTATGGAACATCATACCGTTGGCTACACCTTTATTAAATAGCCAACTGACACACCGTTAACATATACTGTACTGAATAAATGAATAATTTAGTACTTGTTTGTAATGCTAAAACGTTAAAGAGTTTTAACTTGAGGTAGAAAATAGATGCATATTCAATTTTGTACCTTAATTCACCTCAAACACTCATTACCCAATGATTGTCCAGATCCCATGGTATGAGGAGTATCCGACAGACCCGCCTTCGTTGGTCCTCAATGGGTTTATCTACTCGTTGATCGGACTGTACGACCTGGTGAGTCTGGCTCCTGCGTTGCAAGCTCGCGATGCTGCTGCCCTCTTCAGTCAAGGCATCAAGTCGCTCAAGAAGCTGCTACTCATGTTCGACACTGGATCGGGCACAAACTACGATCTACGCCACCTCACTATCGGTTGTGCTCCCAACATTGCAAGGTAAAGTGTAAGGATGGGTTGGTTTTAAAGTAAATTTTAGTAGTAAAATAAAATTTAAACTGAATTGTTATTAAGTGTCTGTTTTTGCTTGTTGGTTGTTGCGCAGCAACTGGGAAGCAATCATGCGATATTTTACAATCATGTTGATCTCAGAAAAAGACTGCAGAACATATATCTCTCTCATTTATTTTATCTGTCCACAGCCATTTACAAACCAATGTCTACTGATGTTTGTTCTGAAAACATCTTACAAAAGTGATTGAGATATATTAAACGGTATATTAAGTAAAACTGAATGGAAAAGAAGTGGTAGGAAATAAAACGCTAAATGCATTACTTTTAACTGTGTTAAAACTGATTAGTATGATGACGTGACAAGTAATGACGTGAACCTTTTCAAAAGTTTCATTATGTGAAACTCGCCGATGACAAACTGAATCGGTTTTGATACAATCCATTATGCGAATATCAGAGAGAACTGTCAGTAGCCTGAAATGTGCATTTTGAATTTCAGGTGGGACTATCATGCCACACATGTTAACCAGCTGTTGCTGCTGGCCACGATAGACAAAGATCCTCTGTTATCGACAACGGCAGGTCGGTGGGTCGGATACATGAGCGGCAAGCGAGCGCCTCACAATTGAGCAGCAAGGTTTGTGGCACGATTCAGTGTAGTCCTTGAAAGATATGGTATTTTAATGCCAATTTTGTACTAAACTGTGAAGAAATGTAAATTCTTTGTTATTTCTCAAAGTGCAAAGGGCATTAAATGCCACTTAATTACTTTGAATATTAATGACAATTTTTTGTTTTATTTATTATGAAACGAGTTTTCTGGTCTGATATGCTTTAAACTTGATGTATAATCTTCTAAAACTGAGACGTGTTTATTTTTGTATACTTATGTTTCATTAGGGACGTTTTGTACCAAATTACTATTTGAATCTTTTCTGTATCATTTTAGTCAACTGAATTACGTACTCAATACATATCATTTATAAGTAATGTATATAAGACACGAGATGTTCATGTAGACTAATTTTTACTCTGTAGTTACTAAGCAGTTTTATTCTTGCAAAAGTTTTATTTAAACAACATTTCATTGATAGTAGGCTGTGTTTTTTTATTTTTTAAACTAAGTGGATTCATCATTAATTGAAAGCTTTGTGATAAATGACATCTGTGTCTGGTAACGCTTCGCATGGAATCGAACCAGCGAGCTTCAGATTTTAAAATGACCACAGTAACCACTTGTCTTGCCTACATAATAAAATTATGTTATTTTTTACTTTACATCAGCGTAGAATCATTGAGTTTGTGGTAATATAAATATACATTCTGTAGATTTTAAAAAAGCTATCTATATAGATTCTATATCTAGGCCTATTTATTTCTTGAAAATTTGATTATTGTTTTCAATTTATTCCCAGGACTTGTTTTGTGTCAGAATTTGCTTGTGTGAACTTTATAAAAGAATCAAATATTCAAATTCAATACTTGCTCATGTTAGGAGAGTCCAAACAATGTTACCACAATATAATTAAAAAATGAAAAGCTGATTTTTTTTGGTTGTATTGTAATATATTTTAGGTTTAGCTTTCCTTTTGGTGAGCTCATTGCAAAATTAGATACACTAGGGCCTATTTATTGTGAAAATCTATGGGATTGATCGGCCAACTAAAGTTTGAATTATTTCCAACTTCACTTTGTGAAATTATCAGATCGTGACCTGTTTTACTGCCAAGGATAGCATGGACACAGGTAATGCCTAATCGATTATAATTATTATACAACTGAAAACAACAAGATTGTTGGGGCAATAATCAAGCCTATCAAATTACATATCATTTGATGTCTGACATATTGTGTTTTAAAAAGAAATTCGTACCCTAATTCTTTAAATAAAGGAGGTTTCCCAATAGTTACAAAATTCAAAATTACTAAACGTTTCCTTTGTTATGAACTATTCTCTATTTGAGTTATCCTTTTTTCCTGCCATCTCTAATCAACTTAGGTATAGTGTTTAGACTGATTGAATATGTAGTAAATACTATTTGGTGATCTCATAACTTAAGACCATTTCATGTTTGGAATGCTGTTTTAGTATTTAAGTTCTGAGGTAAAAATACTGAGACATGCAACAACTTTGTAGATTTAGTGAAATAATTGTAAAATATTTGTTTAGTTGGTAGCTGTTAGTTATGGAAGGAATATTTAATTTTTTTGTTTAATAGTCTTAAAATAATCTTTAACCTATTGTTTATAATTTGTTTTCAACTGTATCAGAATTCTAGGGGTGTGTGAATAGGGATTTTTGGGTTTGAATCAAATTAAATAGAATACTTCATAATATATCCGAATATCGAATATTACTGAGTAACTATTTGCAGTAACTATATCCAGTCGTCATTATTCTCTATTTTTGCAACATGTCGGTTATAGCTCTCTGAATGATCTGAAAGGTTTGATGAGGGACATGATCCCATGCTGTAAGTCTTACCAGTGCAGGTTTGACTGTGCGCGAGTACTGTGACGTGGCCTTTGAAAAGCTGATTTACAAGGTTCTGAATAGCTGTTTCGTATATGTCAACCTGTGGTGTGCTGTTGTCAAACACATAATTTCTCATCTTGGTTATAATTTGCTGTGTCTTAGGCTCAGAAATGACTTCCACTCAAGATCTACATTCACTATCCAACTCACAAGGCACTAACGACCTCACATGTATGGCAACTTGGACGGAATCCATATGCATGATTTAAGTGTTATCTATCTTGATACTCTTCGATGAATTTATATGAAAATTATATGAATAGTGTAATCTGAAAACTAATAAGATCTTGCAGCTCCTCCATAAATTAACTTTATTGTATAAAGTAAAGTTTATGAAAAACTTACTGGTACCGTTAGGTCTATTTACTATTTGAATGTTTGAAATACTCATCAATATCGAGCGGGCTCAAATATTAAAGAATTCATAAATTACAAGGCTAAAATGTGGTTCGGATTCCACTATAAACTGTAAGTCCCTTAGTTGCTGCCATTGGCTGTTATTAATTAACAGTTCTGTGTAAGGAACATGTCGGCCTTAGTCAATAACAAGACTAAAAGATCGCGCCACTCATCCCACTCTCATCTCCATTCATACTTGGCTTAAAATACCTACTTCGCACACTCCTACAGAACTCTCAAAATTAGTACTATAATAGTTATAATTTTGTTACGTTAATCTATTTTTTTCTCGTAGCAGGTGGGAAAATGTCTCACTGTTCAAATAGGTAATTGGTGCTAATTGTAAATATTACTACCTATATATATGTGTAATTACTTGTGTATCTATAGTATATTAATTAAATGTAATATTTACATGATTTGTAAATAATATAGTAGGAACATACATATTAATATATTATTTTTATTTTTATTAACCTTTACTAATATTATATATTATACGAGTGAATATCTGATTTTCTTTTCTGCTATTAATGCTTGATTCTTTCATTTACTTATTTTTACTTTAACGTGCAATTGCCAATGTTACCTTAAAGTAGTTCAGGGAAAAGAGTCAATTAGAATATTATTAAATTGTACACAAAATTGGGGTACATAAAATATAGTGTAGATTATACTTATATTTAATACATTATTTCATATGCCACTTTTGCTTGTAATTGCTAGCATAGATAAAACATACTCCCCCAAGTAGATTTCTCATCCTTATACAACAGCTGAAGACAATTTTATTGTTAGTTCTGTACGGTTTATGTAGAGGTTGTGTTTTGTTTACAACTTGTTTCCAGTTATTACAGTCATTTAAAACCTTGTTTAACCAAATAATACGATTTAATCATAAACAATAACTTGTCACCTAGTTATATAACCAAACAGTAAAGCACAAATAAAGAAATTAACCCTAAAATGATAGAATCAAAATTTTGTCGACACTAGCGCCCAGTGTCACCGTACATGAACTTGACTCGAAAAACGTGCTTCAAAATTTACAATGAGAAGTCTACTTGTGTTGGTTAGTCTATGTTGCTAGTCATTTTACTCCGTTGAGGTTTTTGCAGTTAAGTTTATGAAGTACACTAGAGATCATATTTCAACAAATTTATAGACTTTATTAATAAGTTTTTTGGAAGTAAAACACCTGGCTTAGGAATACATTAGGGAGAAGGGATGGATACACAACTAACTAACCTATGAAGAGGACAAGGTTAAAAACACACAAAAAAGTTAAATTGGCCATCACCTTTTGTCTGACGAAACCCGTTGTTGGGACGACATAGAAGGAAAATACAGAGGAAACATTCAATGGCACACTTAAGTCATGTCTAGCACCAGTCGCTTGTGTCTAGTTCAAATTCTATTGGTCGTCCCCTTCAGCTCTCCTCTCCCCCTCACCATCACACACTACAGCGCTTACGATGTAGGAATAGCCTGTGTGCTACAACTGCTGTTGTAAACAATAGCCGTTCGGGCTCTTCCTTGCTCGGTACTAGTATATTTCCGTCCCACCATTCCAGAGCTAAAAGCACACGGTTGTATCATAAGCATGTTTCTTACTTCCTTGTGTTGGGACAAAATATCAAATTTATTGTGTTGTGAACTTTTTTTGTGTGCTTTTAACTACCTGCAACTCTTTTCTTAGGTAAGTTAGTTGTGTATATACATTCCTTCTGTATTATCTGCTCTTTAATAATTGTTTTTGTCTGATTCATTGACTGTCTAAGTGCATATCATTATCATAAGCTTTCAAAAAACGAATTGAGAACTGCTAACAATGTTTGGTTAAATTTGGTAATTCTTTGGCACATTCTTTTGCCATTAACGCTTGGTATTCTACATAGCCTACTTTAATTAAATTGTTTTTTATGTATATTTGTTGTAGGGTCTTCTTCTCTAAACTCAAAGTCAAATATAGGTTAGATTGTTTACATCTTGGAACTGATTTTATGTACTTTTCTGTTTGATATACTATCAGTAGAATTAGTAGATTGCCTAAGATGTCTATAAGTAGTGCACTTCAATCCACATGAGCTTATTACCTCTAGTATACCACCCTTGTGTAAATACAAAATATTTTGGATAGAGTTATAATTTTGTAGAGAGAACTGTACATCTATTGATTGTGATTGGCTTTGTTAAGCCCTAAACGTGTACATAATGTTGTTACTTTGTGAACTAAACATGTGTAACTTTGTGTATGTAAAAAGTGTCAAGATAAATCATGTTTAGTCGAACTGTACTTAAATGTGTATTGTTTTATAGATGAAATTTTTATTTATTTGACTATATAAACTTGAATTTACAATTTGATTTGGAGCCAAGAAGGAATTATTAGTTTGTTAGCTCAGGGTTTCTCAATCTTTGGTACGCAGAAGGTGGTACGTGGTGACATTTTTAAGTATGAGTATTACATGTCAGGATTTTATGCAGCATTAGTTCGCGGTCCATTGACAACTGTAGTTAACAAAAAATTAGAAAGTTGAATTTCTCCAAAGATATTTTCTAACGAGTGCAATATAGTTTTTGTAACAAAAACTACAAATTGATATGAAATAATAGCACTCAAATAATATAAAATTTAAAACTCGAGCCCAAAGCTCAGTTCTTATACTAGGGTTTCATCTTTTGTGAACCCATAATCTTCTCAGGAAAGGTCCATGTTTACAACAGGAAAATGTGTTAGTTCCGTTAGCAAAATAATTAATAGGTATTAAACATATTCCATCCATAATAATAAATAAATAAATAATAAAACTACGTTCGCAGTACTGTGAATTTAGTTTTAAAGATTTCTCTGTGGTTACAGTGTTATGTAATTAAAATACCCACTTTCTTCTGATGGTGTATAACACTTATAAATACCACTAGGGATTTGAAGTGAACTGACTCGGGTACACTGGCTACATTAATGCAACTAAATACACTTTATTGCAAAATCATACCGTATTAAAGGAAGTGCTTTTCACAAATATTGAGCTTTAAACTTAATTTCACCTTGAACACTTGTGTTCACAGTGTATTTTTAAATAAACACAAGAAAATGAGGTTGAGGAGTCTTATTTACCGTTGCTCAACAGTTCAGTTATTTTGTAATTGAATGGTAAATCTGTTGAAATACTTGAATGTAAAAAATGTCAGGCTCCGATAGATCTCCATCTAGATAAAAGCCACACTATTCATTGTACCGGGAAAGATATGATCTTAGCTCCCATGGTAATGAAAACTCTGTTGAGAATCGCAGTAGTAATAATTTGTCTGAAGGTAGCTTTTCTGAGCTACGTACACATTCGAAACGTGGCCTTGAAAAGAGTCCAATGCGGTCTCATTCACCTCCAACTCAGCAATGTTCCTCGTCTCGAGGATCTGCTTTCAGCTGATATTTTTGGTTGTAGGCTTCTCGTTAAACCTAAATATTATTTAAACAGGGAATTAACCTGACATGCTAAGGAAATATTTTAGTAAAAATTTAATCAGTCATGAAATATTTTAGTAAAAATTAATTCAGTCAATCGATCTTGGCTTAGTCTGCAGGTTTGCGGTGGGGGGGAGGAGAAATTTGTTTCTAATAAGAATCTCCGTTCAGCTCTGTTTTTCACTTGTCCTTACTTTATACGGAAATTATACTTCCTTGTGAATGACAATAACTTCTAAGTGTTGTTTAATCTTAACGATTGTATATTGTAAAAAAGGTTTTTAATTGTCTTTTGATTGTTCGCTTTACGTTGATTTTACTGCAATTCTATTTACCATAATCAAAAACTTATGTGTTATTGTGAATGAAATAAATGTTATGATTGAACCTGTATTTTGCACATGATACTATAAGCACTAAAGGAAAATAAAACACAACTTTATAACATGAATGTGTTTAATTTACCTGGCTTGTTTTGAATTAGTTTACAAAAAGTTATCAAGAGGTTTACCTCGTAACTACCTTTTAAAAATGCCTTTTGTTGAACAATATTTTTTTTACTTTTGTTTGTTTTACTTTTGAATTGTATTTCCCTAACTCAAGATTTTCAACTGATGGATTGCTGGTTTAGGTTTTAGACGTGCGGCCTAGCACTCTCAGCTACCTATACACTCTCCATTATAAAACGTAGAAATTTGGCTGTTTCCCTGGGCATTTATACGTAATTTTAATGTTGCTGGTACATTTATTAGTGTTTAATAGTTAATATTGAGACAGTAGTTGGCTAACCTGGAACTTGCTAACCCGTGTTGAGTGGAAGAAATGGCTAACCACTGAACTTAATAACTGTTACAATCCAGAATTGTTTAATCCCAGAACTCGCTTACTTAATTTTGTTCAAGCCTGATTTCAAGCACTTTCGAATCATGTTCCACTGACGAGTAGATCCAATGCGCCACTAACAAATAAAATTATGCACAATGTCAGCGGTCTTGGCCCCAACAGTAACTCGTAAGCAACGTCTGCCTGAGTCCATCATCCATCAATTTCTTCCATTATTAATCTGAGGTTCGACCACAGGCACTCGTGAAGCGAGTCTACCAAGACAATCAGCCATCTATGATGATCTGAATCATTGGAACTCTCTCCATCCTTTTCTTTGGGAGTGAGGGATAACAATCTAACAAAAGAGGCTTGACGTTGGCAGAAAATCAGCTGCTATTTAAGAGTGAAACAGCAGCTTCAACTGCAGCTAGTATGACTATGAAGAACAGTCAAAAGTACATATTTTCCTTCTTATCTTCTCGAGTAAAGACACTATATAAGACATCTTATCATGTACGGCTTACTACTTACTGTCTACTAAGAATCCCAATTCAGGTTTTATAAAATTATTAGACTAATTTTGTATTCCTCCCACACTTATTAGACTACGATATGCATATACTGTTGACACTATTATGAACTGTTTTATTGGTCGAAAAAGACCGTAGTACACGACTTCAAAAAAGCTTATGAAACTGAATCCAAACAAGAGTCCCAGCAATCCACCGACGTTCGAAAGAGTTACCCCAACATCTGACGTTCTCAGTCGGGTGATTGTGTTGAATTGATCGATGGAGAAGTAGATTGATAATCGAGCGACATTGCTGTTGGGTGGCTGACCAATCAGTTTCTGGAAACTAACATCAAAATCGTAAGACATCCAAAAGCAACCGGGAAAACATGTACACTCCTCCAAAAAACTAAACCTGCCTTTACTTTTCGAAACCAATATTGTATTGAATATTGTTGCTAAACATTTGTTCGAAGAATCATTGCAGTACGGGTAACCGAATTCGCCTACTATTCTGTGTAAGTTGGTCGGCACACATCCACAATGGCGCAGTGTTGTTTTAGTGTAGCACTCCACCTGACATGCCGATTGACTGTAGTAGTTGAAGAATTCCAGTAGAGACTCGTTCTGAAAAAGGCACTCTCTATCATCTACAGGTACTGACCTCAGGCTTTCATTTGCAGTTATAAAATTCGGAATTAATTTGAACTGGGTGTGGACACCAGTGGGAATCCTCATATAGCTTTCAGTTTCCGGGAACCCATCAGGTGGAAGTACGAAAACCTTGAACCCGCTGTCCATGGAACATATCTGTTGAGCCTCTTCTCTATGATCTACCAGATCAAAAGTCAAACCGAAAAATTCTCCCCTGACCCTCACCCAATACGGGCGAACGTCGTCTCCTCTAACAGCCCTTTGCGGATAACCCTTCTCTAGACCCCAATATATTATATCATCATCATAAAACAATTTGTTCTCAGACAACGGTCTATAGTGCTTGATAACAATTTCACCTGGTAGACTGTTGAAAACATAACACAATCCAGCATTAGTCAAAATTGGTTCGAACAATGTGCAACAATCTGTTTGTTGGCTGTTCCATCTACAATTAGTAATTAAATCTTGGCACGGTATCGCTACTTTTATCCTAAAGTCGAAAAAATCTTCATCAATACTGTCATTGAACGTTTCAGAAATAAATAAACCACTTCTTTTTGGACAAATCAATTTGCTAAAATGCCTGAATTTCTTTTCGCTTGCATGTTTTTCTAAATTAAAAACAGATTTTCTTATTTGGTAAGAGCATACTATCACAGCAGGGTAGGGAATTTCCCAAACGTGTGTGCTAATTGGATTAAATACAAGTTGAAATTTATTAGTTATATAAGACCAGTAAGCGTCTTTCACTATGATTCCGCTTGCAAACAAGCATGTTAGAAATATTCCCAGCCAAAAGACACGTTCTATCCGTGGAAGAGATGAATCTCGAATGTACCTTAGCCCATGTAAGGTACTGAACTTACAATACTCGTCCAACAACCCACGGATACATTTCACTGAAGTAAATACACTCCGATTTCTTGCTTCTTCTCTACTAATCCTCCCATCCTCACTGTCAATATCACCATTAGCATTATCCATTCCAGAACTCATTTATTTCTTGGTAAATTTATACCGATATCTCAAATTTTACAAATAATGAATTTTAATGTTTAATTTTCATACCAGTGAAAGATTTTTCTGTACAAAGTAAAATGCCCGTCTAGTTCACAACTGAATACAAAAATGTATGTAGATTATGAGAATTAAACTCTAATTTTTGCCCACAGAGTTTTTTACTGAATTCAAATTATTGGAAATGGTCAAAAAGATCAACAAACTTTACCACCTAGGGCAATTTACACAGACCTTAAAAACAATGTTTAAAGTGCAATTTTAGATAATACGCCGGGTTTCAAAGGAAATACTGTATTCACTAAGTACTTATAAAAAAGTTGTTTGCTTTCACATCTGGTTCAGTGAGCCACAAGAGAAGTCCTCAATGATTCAATAAATGAATGCTTCCATGTGTGGAAGTAGTTACATGGTTTGAGCAATGACAATAACCATAAACATTTGACTTATTTTAGTAAGGAATAAAAATAATTACACATAATTTTTGCTGTTTTGCAAGAAGTTAAACAATTTTTTCTATTAAGTATTTAGTAACTGGCTTTTAGTGTGATATATGTTTAATTTGATCCAATTTTTATAATTAAATTTTGCTATGAGTGTTTTTAATTTGTTTTAATGAGTTGAAGATGTGGTTGAATTCAATTATTTAAAGTCTGTAATGAAACAGAGAAGTAACAGCCAACCTGTGTTTAAAACTATTGTACCCAACTACCAGAAAATAATAATCAATTTGTGAATAGGGAGTTTCTTTTTCAGTTTAGTATTTTTATTTTTAGGTATATGATAAGATATATTAAAACATGGCATCTAATTTATGTGAACATTGAACTTTGTGAATCTTCTAACAATAATATAAATCAAATTGCATTTCATAGTTGTACATTAGTATGGAATGGCTTCAAAAATTATAAAACTTAATCTAAAGAAAGATAAGCCTCTATAAGAAATCAAACACTAATTTTAAATATGGAGTGGCTGAAAAATTAACTTGCACCCCCTCCCCACCCACAACCTTTCAACCATTTGAGATATTTGCAGTCGGTTTTGCAACAACCTTCTCATATGAAATGCTATAATGATGGTGGTTAATTTTGTAAATTTGGCCCGTTGGGGCAGTGGATCATAACATTTTAAAATAGAGGAAGTATGGCCAACTCTCAAATCATATTTTATAAGTCTTGGCGAAACTTAACAATTGAAATAAAGAAAATAGAAATCGGACCAATGATAACAAAATGTCAGCTAAAAATTGCTTTTACCCCTTTCAAACCCAGCACACTCATTTGTGTAGGTAAATTTTTAAGTCCTGACAACCTAACCAACACGATTGTGTAGGTTAGATGTTTATTTGTTTTTTTTTGAAGTTTCTGGATCTTTCTGTTGCTCAGACCTGTAGGCATCGATTGTGTAGGTTATGGAGATCAGCTGGGAATTTTTGTTTTGCAGTCAGCCTTAATGTCTTATGGTAACACTGATTGTTTTGTTGCAATGTCACGGTAAGATAGGAGAAAGAGGCAACTGTTAAGGTTAATGACTGTTTTATTTACGTTTTGAAACGTATATAATGCTAATTATTGCTGAAACTGAAATGGTTAATATGGTATTATGAAGGTTTCGTCTTTAAAACAAACCTGATCAATAATTTTAGTATTTGAAATCTAGGTTAAAAACCAATATTTATTCAAAATTTGCTCAGGACTTAAAGCGGTCGAGATGACTAAGATTCCCGGGTCTAAAAGGGATAACCAGCGTCTTAAACATGTTTGGCTGCCATTTTGTTATTAGAGGTCCGATTTCTATTTTCTTTATGTCAATTGTTCAGTTTTGTTAAGACCTATAAAATATGAAAGTCGACTATACTTCCTACTTGAAAATTTTGGAAATGCGGAATACTATACCCCCCGAAAAACCACCTCCTCAGGTGAAGCCTGACGTCACGAAATTTGCGAACTAACCAATATATGGGAGCCTGTCCGCGACTGGAATACTACCCCCACTAGCAATTAAAATGTGATGCTATGTATTAAAGTTAATTTCATACGTAATAAATTATCAGTGAAATTTTAACTCGAGTAATTCTGTTTGATAACAGAAAAGGCATATGGGGGGGAATATCAAACAGAATATTTAAATGTTACACAGTTTGACAACGAAACTTGAGTGTCCATGACTGGAAAACTGCCCTCCCCCATCTCTGACATCATCGTGACAAGAACCTGCTTGGGACTTGGAATGTAGTTGTCCGGGTGGCAGTTGGTAGTCTTCCGGTTCCGGCGACTCACAATTTTGAGCTACGCCCACAACCCCTAAGGGCAATTTTTTTAAAATTACTCAATATTATCGTTCGTAGTCCCTTATATCGTACCCAAAGGTAACTCCAAACAGCCCCCTATAAACCATAGTTTCTGTAGTTGGGTCGCGTGGATTGACATAGGCCTACACAGTAATCAGTAATCTGTACATAAATATCGGAATTCAAGACTATAACAAAAAAAGAACTTGAGCAAATAATGACTAAGCTACCCCCAAAAAATTCCTCGGGGATTGATGAGATAAATAACAAAATGATTAAGCATTGTAAAAATCAAATAATTGAGCCCCTTTTAAACGTAATAAATGCCTCAATTAAACAAGCAACCGTACCAGACCTAGCAAAAATAGCCCTAGTCTATCCAAAGTATAAGAAAGGAGAGAAGACAAATATTTCAAACTATAGACCGATATCTATCCTACCAACATTGTCGAAATACATAGAAAAAAGCATACATAACCAACTGATGAACTATTTAGAAAATAATAATAAAATTTCCCAATCCCAACATGGTTTTCGAAGTGGCAAATCTACCAATACAGCATTAGCAACCCTTTGTGATAAAATAACTAATATATGGGAAACTAAATCCCAAGCAACCGGCATCTTCTTAGACATCGAAAAAGCATTTGACAGCTTAGATAGAAAAATTCTTATAAAAAATCTTAAGCAACTTAACATAACTCACAAAGCATTAGATTGGATCCAGAACTATCTAACGAACAGGAAGCAGCTAGTCGAAATAGAATATACGAAGAACTATTATGAAATCAACTGCAGGTCTAAACTACAGACAACTTACAAAGGAATTCCGCAGGGCTCCATACTAGGGCCCCTGCTTTTCTTAACATATATAAATTCATTCCCCACCAATTTTACAGAAGACAGCGCCTGTATAATGTTTGCAGACGACACAACAATCATCACACCAACAGATGGCAAAACTCTGGAGTTAGTTTTTAATTTTTGAAGTTCTGGAACTTCAAAAATTAAAAACTAATGAAACTCTACAAATCTCTACAGCTGCTTGCAACGAAATAATCTTGACAATAAATAAACAGAAAACAATAGTAATAAACTTCAAACCTACAAACCATAACAATGAAATTTCAACTACAGATGAAAACTCACAAACCAATACTAAGTTCCTTGGAATAATTTTGGACAAAAACCTAACATGGCATGATCACCTTTTAAAGCTAGGTGGAAAATTGTCACAAGTTGTGTATGCTTTACGAAGAATTAGAAATAAATTACTATAACTGCATATCATGCAATCTTTTCATCGCATATCAGATATGGCATCATAGCCTGGGGCTCTGCAAATGAAATTCACATTGAGAAAATAATAACCTTACAGAAGAAAGCAATTCGAATAATAGAACAAATTGAACAAGAAAACCCACAAGCCCACTGTAAACCTTTCTTTATCGAAAACCAAATCCTAACTGTAATCTCCCTTTACCTTTTTGAAACAATTACCTCAATCAAATCAAATCCCCCCCAACTCAGAACCCAATGTCACAACTATAACATCAGAAACAAATCAAACCTTGACATAGGCTATCACAGGCTAAACAAAACCAGTAAAACACCAAACAACATGGGGATCAAAATGTTTAATCTTTTGCCAAAAGAACTCAAAGAAATAAGTGAAAATAAAACTTTTAAAAAACAACTCAAACAATACTTGATTAAACGACCATATTATAAATTAATTGACTTTATAAATGAACACAAATATAACCTAAACAATAAATAGGAGAGCAATGCTCAAACTCACACACACGCATACACATATTAACAAGAATTTGACGATTCCCCTGTCTACAAGGACGGCGGAGAAGACATCGATGGTAAATGGTAAATGGTAAATGGTAAACTTTCGTGATACTCCATTGCCAGAAGTGCCAGCTGATTGCTTATTAATTAACGTGTTGTTTGGTTGTTCCTGGCTAACCTGACACTGGCATTGTGCCAGAGTGGACTGAATATAATATAAGGTAAGGATAATGGGTCTTCTAGAACGATAATGGTTGGCTGAACGGACTAAACGGCAAAACACCTTTATTTACTAAACATTTTTCTTGAAAGGTATCTATATCTATAATCTATATTGTTTTCTTTTTCTTTTGACGATTGTCATGAACTTTGTACTCAGTTTTAACGACAATAAAGCATTTCATTTCATTTCAATGATACTGCCACAGTGCCACGGCCACCTTTAAAGGCGGTCGTGATCACTGAGCTAAAATTATAACTGGAGGTAGCACTGCCATGGCAGAAGTCTGTCAAGAGCGTGTCGCTGATTTTGTTAGGTTGGTATAGCAGTGAGTTTTTTTAACCAATGACATGGCTTCTATAACTAGGTCTGTATAGCAGTGAGTTTTTTCATCCAATAACATGGCTTCTTTATAACTCACACCTCACGCAAACATGGCGGCTGGCGACACGCATCTTTGACATTCAGTGCTACCTCCAGTTAGAATTATAGCTCAGTGGTCGTGATACAGTACTGCCAACTCCACGTTCCATCTACCTACTCACTCTACTCTGCTACCAGAATCAGGCTGTATAAACTATCTACAATACTTGGGATTGTAATGAAATGTAAACACCTCAACCTAACCTCCGAAAAATAAAAAAACTTATTGTTTATTTTTATTTAGTTCCAGAACTACTAAGGGCGAGGTTATGTTGTCCCTCTGTTGTCCTATGGTGTTAAAAATTACGAAAGTTTAAATTTTAAGACATGCTTTCTCTCGAAGAAAGAATTAATGTACTAGAACTTCTAAGTGGTTTGGATGAAGATGATATATTGTCATTAGCTTCGACTGTCACTAAAGGTCTACTGAAACCAGGATCAAGAGAAGGTAACTTAAGCCTAGTCCTATACCTTATTTTATCAACATTTTGTGATAATAATGCTAGCAACTAAACTGCATTATTACATATTGTTTGGCTTTCATACTTAATCCCATGCACGTTCACCTCGAAAATTGGACTACATTTAGGCTAGATTTATTTTCTGATTTTGATGAGGCCCTAGGCTCTACTTAAATAAAAATTTGCCTGACCAAAGACTAACTTATTAGGCTAATTTGGGCTGGACGGAAAAAAATCATTGGAATAATAAATTCTTGAATGATGTTTAAATATGTTACCGGTAATCATTAAATCAAGCCACACAGCTTTCCACTGTCCATTCAACCATTTAAAATTATGATTGCTTGGTAGGCCTATGTTTAACGTGGCCATACGTCCCGCTTTCGGCGGGACAGTCCCGCTTTACAACAAGTTGTCCCGCTGTCCCCACAATCGGCCGGGGGACGCCAAAATGTCCCGCTTTGGAGGTCAGGCGTTTGAAATATTCAATGGAATATGAAAATTCGCCTTTTCACACTAATGTTTAGTTCGTGTAAGAATACTAGTTAGTAATTTTAAGGAAAGCTGACGGAAACCAACCTATTAACCTATTTGGTTAACTGTACAATTAGCACTTCATCGTTCATCCATCGATCGCGTGAACTCGACTATACAATACAATATACTGTACTAGGCAACGATCGGCACTAGTACAATTTATTTCCGCGCGAGTGTTGAAGCGCTGTAGGCTACTACGGCCTCAAAAGACGCATGTTGTCAGTAAACTAAACTGTCAAGTTGTTTGTGTACCTTAACCTCTAACTTTACATTCGGTGCAAGTTTGTTTGTGATTTGACTATTGTAGGTCTACGGTTTAATTACTGTTGCATTAGATAATGCCCAAACGGAAGTGCACATTTAATAGTGAATTACAATCGAAATATCCGTTTATTAAACTTAAGTTTGAGACGAACAAAAGTGATGTAGTCTGTGAGAAGTGTCGTACTGAGTTTAGCGTTGCTCATGGAGGAGCTAATGATATTGATAAACACTTAAAGTCAAACAAACATGTTGCTTCTGACCATGCTGCGTGCTCGAGCAAAACTATATCTTCATTTTTCAAAAGCAACGTCCCGAACAAAAAAGACCTGGACGTCTCAGCGGCTGAGGGTGCCTGGGCCTACCACACCGTACGTGAGAACCACAGCTTCCGCTCCAACGACTGCGCATCCAAGGTAATAAATACTTGTTTTGAACCAAAGTTCCACTGTGCTAAGACCAAGACGCAGGCTATAGTTACACAAGTTATTGCCCCATTAGCTCAGGCTGAGCTTAAAAAGGATCTGACTAGTTGCAACTATGTTTGTATAATGACAGACTCATCCAATCATGGTTCACAAAAAATGTTTCCTGTTGTAGTACGCTATTTTGATAAATTTAGCGGCATTAAAGTAAAGGTTTTAGATTTGCAATCCCTCCCCGGAGAAACATCAGATATTATTGTCAATTATTTGAAGGACGTGCTGCAAGAACATCAATTAACACAAAAAGTAATTTCATTCAGCGGGGATAACACCAATACAAATTTTGGTGGTGCAGCTAGAAAGGGGAAAGAAAATGTTTATTTCAAACTAAAAGGTTTTTTAGGCAGAGATATTGTAGGCATTGGATGTGCAGCACATATAGTGCATAACGCCATACTAAGTGCATCAGATTGTTTGCCAGTAGATGTAGAGGTTATTGTCGTTAAAGTGTATTCATTTTTCTATCTGTACACAGTAAGGGTGGAAGCTTTCAAAGAAATATGTGATTCGGTCGACATTGAGTACCACAAAATGTTGGGATACAGCAAGACTCGCTGGCTTGCTTTAATGCCAGCAGTTGAAAGAATTTTGAAGCTTTTTGTGCCACTTAAAGAGTACTTTCTTAACCAGCCGAAATGTCCTGAGATCCTGAGGAAGTTTTTTGGAAACCCACATTCAGAAGTATGGCTTTATTTCATACATAGCCAAGCAGCTACGTTTCAACAAACTGTTTCAAATGTAGAAGGTGACAAGGTCTCAGCAATCGAGGTAACTGTTCAAGTAAAAATCTTGAAGGAAAATCTCAAACAGAAGGCCGTGAACAAATTTGTTCCACACATAGTTCGCAATTTGATGACGAAATGTTGCTCAGAAGAAGAAAAACAAAGTATCACAAAAAGTACACAAAAACACAAAAAAAAAAAAAAAAAAAAAAAAAAAAAAAAAAAAAAAAGTAAAGTATCAAAGTAAAGTAAAGTAAAGTAAAGTAAAGTAAGTAAAGTAAGTAGTAAAGTATCAATTAACACCTTTGTTTCGTTTTACGAGACATCACTGCAGTATTTAGATCAATGGACTGTCCATTTTCAAAACTTGGAGATATTTCAATGGGTGATGTTGAAGAACACTCCAAAGTGGGAGGACATCCAACCGTCAGTTGACTATTTAATTAAGAATAAGTATTTTCCACCAGATTGTGATACTAAAGTATTCGATGAAATTGGGTATGTGTTGAAATATGTTGAAAGCAATGTTGCTAATTGGAACGAAGAACAAGTTGAAACAGATTCAAGATGGTCTAAGATCTTCACGCACTTTAAAGATAACTCAATAAACTGCGAATACGCAAGTAAAATTGTGGAATATGTGTTGACTCTCCCAGGGAGCAATGCATCTGTTGAAAGAGTATTTTCATCAATGACAAAAGTGTGGACATCTGAAAAAACTCAACTTTCTGTCAATGTTTTAAAATCGATTCTTCAAACAAAATTTAATTTCAATTTGAGTTGCCAGGACTTTTATGCAATGTTACGATCATCTCCAAAAGCGTTGCAACAAATAGCCTCCAGTGACAAATATACCACTAAACTCTGAGATCAAATAGACTGAGCTACGGTTTGAGCAAATATTTAATTAAGTTAAGTGGTTCCCTTGTGTCGTTTACCGTAGTGTGTTTACATTTGCTAAGAAAAACTAAGATGCAAATAATTATTCAATTTGAGCTAGTATTCATTTACAGTATTATTTGTTATGTTTTTGTAATGTAATGTGAATGGTTATTTTATTATTAAGGACGATTTTGTGAATTTCTTGCACTGTAAATTAATAAATGGCAAACTTTTTATTGAGATTCTTATTGTAAATCCATTTGTTGGATGTTAAGGATAAAGTTGGTTAACATTTACATAGTGGAATAATAATTTACAAATGTTTATTTGACGATTAGAATTGAACAGCGAGATTAAACTTGATGATTTTTGCAGGCCTACCAATTAAGGTGAGCATTTATTGGTGTATTAGGATATTTACTTTTGAATAAAATGTTATATAGGGATAACAATGCATTTTTTTACTGTATGATAAAAAATTACATTAAAAACTGTCCATGTTACTTTTTATTAGTTATTCCCGAATCCCGATGACATCCATCCGCCATTTGTAAATTCAGTTCCTTTGCTCATTTCCCGCTGTTAGGGTGAGCTTGGTGAAGCTATCCACTTTGACTTTTGAGGATATTTCGAAGTAAAGATATGTTCCGTCCAATGAACTTAATTTAAATTCATGTTTAAACACCTTAAACAAATAGGTTAAATATAGTAAAAACTCAAATAAAAATCAAATTATGATTTAAAAAATATCACGTCTAGATTGCATAAAAACGCTAGTTTACACCTATTATTTTTCAAAATTTTTCAAAATTCCATACCCCCCAGACCCCCCGGCAAGGTTTGTCCCGCTTTGAACTCCAAAATATATGGTCACGTTACCTATGATGCTTCTGTTTAGTCAACATGAATTTATCATTCTAAATCTAAAACATGTTCATATGAAAAAGTATCTGAGAAAAACTGAATCTCAAAGTCGTTTTAGTGTAGCCAAGCCTCAATTGATAAAACTGAAGTTTGTTCATCAGTGTAATGAAGTCTTAAGTAAAATGTGATAGGCCTAATACTTAGAACAGATTTCGGCCAAAGCCCTGTCGACTGTTGCTGGTTAAATCAGTGTCTTCTGTTGGCCATATTAGAAATCATGCTGTTTTTTATTACCGTACTAAACTTTATCTTATTGTATAGAAGGCCCTATTGTTTACGTGTGTCAAAACAATGGTAGGCTAAGTTATTAAAGAATAATTTACAATTGTTATTTTTGTATGTAGGCCTAATTAACTTATTTATCTGGATATCCTGGAAAGGGCATATCTGGTAGCTTTATTTGGATGTTGGAAGTTAACTTACTAAAAATTAGAAAGATATTGTAAGGAATCACACAAAAGAGTTGTGATAATTGAGTGTTGTTCACTATATTTAACTGTATTATCTGTTGACTTTTTGTCTTATTATGGATTATGTTTAAGTAAACTTAATTAATTAATTTGATAAGCCCACTAGCAGTAACTTATTGCTTAGTTTTATGCAAAGAAGAAAGAAATCTACAGTTTTTTCTAAACAATTGTATATTTTTACATTGACATTAGCCTGTACATTTTTGTAATGTTTTCGGCAATAAATATATTCTGACTACCTATTCTATTCTAATGTGCTGGGACGTCCCTTCCCAGAATTTAACATAGTTATCTAATTTCTAAGATTTTAACTATTTACCAAGTAATAGCAATCTTTGCGAAGGAGTTTTTTGCATTTTAGCCATAATTATGACAAAACATGTCAAAAGGTATTCTACATAAAAAATGTATACCGGTAGCTAAATATTTAACATTCAAAACTTTAGTTGATCACTATAATAATTAATTAGGTCTAAGTTAATTCCACTAAAATATTTTCAGAGGCAAACGAAGCTGTTTTACAACACTCTGACTCAGTTGAAAGTATACTCTCGAGAAAAAAGATCTCACGAGAACTGTTGTTCAATTATTTACATTGGAAAAAAGTGACCACTGACAGTAATTTGGATAAGAAGTCACTTACCTCTATGCTTTTGAGATTATGGAAACAACCTGTTCAGTCAAATAATGAGCAACCGAATGAAAATTTTGCGAATCATTCAAACAATGAACGTAACCTTCAGGTAAGTGTATAAATCCTTAGATCTGCGGACGGTGTACACGCAGCTGTATATTCCAGGCGTAATTACACCGTCCGCCGACCGATTATAAATAGTGTAGTTTGGTTAAATGTAAATACATATTTTTTCAATTAACTGTGGTCCTGATGATACCACAAGTTGTTGTGAAATGTGCATCGAGCTGAACATTCAATAAAGTCAAGAGCATGGCAATGCAACCAGAAGGTAAACTTACATTGTTAATTGTTCTTAAAACTGAAGGGAATACTTAAAAATCTTAAAAATAATTACTTTAACCCTAGGTAATGACGAAATGTTTTCCTCAACTCTCAAAGCCATATCCTGTGGATTGTTTTTGTCAGGTGACCAGTCATCTTGAACCTCTCCAAGTGGATCTGTTTGCCCACAAGTTTACCGAGTGGTATTACCAGCTGCTTAACAAAGACTTTCTACAAGGGGGAAACTTTGCTGTCGGAGCGGAACATTTCTGGAACGATGCAACGCTGCAGATAGAGGTTTGTTGTTTATGATCATCATCATCTTCTTAATTTCATAAAATGTACAGATTGGTAGGCTACACGAAATTGTGTCAACATAATAAGTTTTCTTATCTAGATTGTAGCATAGACTAACCAACACAAGTAGACTTGTCATCCCATTGTACATTTTGAAGCACGTTTTTCGTGTCTAGTTCATGTACGGTGACACTGGGTGCTAGTGTCGACAAAATTTTGTTTCTATTATTTTAGGGTTAATTTCTTGATTTGTGCTTTACTGTTAGGTTATATAACTAGGAGACAAGTTATTGTTTACGATTAGATCGTATTATTTGGTTAAACGAGGTTTTAAATTACTGTAATAACTGGAAACAAATTGTAAACAAAACACGACCTCTACATAAACCGTACAGAACTAACAATAAAATTGTCTTCAGCTGTTGCATAAGGATGAGATATCTACTTGGGGGAGTATGTTTTATCTATGATTGTAGGCTTTAATTTGTTCCCAGTTTGTTTTGTTTAAAATGATACAAAATTGGACTTTTCTGAATTTAGAAGGAGATTCCGGCTATCTAAAAAGTCTTTAATTAATGATAAGCCAATATGGAATTATATGATGATAGTTATCATTCTTGTACAGTAGAACTCCTTGTATACAGGCATTGATTGTACTGATTCTCGGTATATCCGGCCAATTCTTGGAAATCAATATCAAACAGTATTTACCAGCTTAGTTTGCTCTAGTCTTTACGACTCAAGCGCTCTAGCGATTTGTCTGTTTGTTTACATTTTACTGTGTTCACTACTCAGCTGAGCGAGTAGGCCTAATCTTTATAATGCAGTTGGTTGATTATTTTAATTTATTAAGCTAAAAGAAAAAAAATTGCTTTATGGACAAGGGTGTTCAGTAGAAAATTACGGAAGCTTTTCAAATATTTACTTTCATTCAGAAAACAATCATACACCAGTAAATGTGGTCCATTGTTTGTCTCAAGATCCTTTTTTAGCTATCACTCCTGGTAGGCTTACTACCACTGACTTTATATTACCATTGCAGACATGTTGTTTTTAGAACCAGCTGTGTAATTAATTATTTTTTTTTTTATATAAAAAGAGGTTGGCGGCCTCTTTTAACCTTGCATTTGCCCGTCCACATAGACTAAGCGCCCGTGCGTGGATCGTTTACAGCAAAGCAAGGAGTGAGCCGGTACAGTACAAAGGTGAACTGTACTGATAAAATGTTATCGGCAGTGACCAGGATCCGAACCCACGACATCGCTGCCTTGGGCCCGAAGTCCGCAACGCTACCGACTGAGCCACCGACTCACTAAAAAAATTAATTAACCTAATTAATTAGTTAATTGATCTAGAGCACAATTTAATGAACCACCGAGTGTGCTAAATATTGTCAAAACTATATTTTATATATTTTTTTGATAACGTACCATGATTATTTTTATAATTTAGTTGCTACAGTTTACAACAATAAGTACATCTTTAGTTTGTCTACAATGCTGGTGTACACAACAGGGATCAGTTTTAACATCAGTGATCACTGTCTGGCTCATTTCAGCTATAGTCTACAAGTAAGCGGAATGTTATTTCTGACCATATTTCATATTCACAGATGATGTCCAATGGTCAGACAGTGACGGAGGAGGCGGAAGGCAGTACAGCCAGCGTAACTCTGATAAGGGACATCAAACAACGACACAAGCTGTACTTCTCCCCCAACCTGAGCGCGGAAGGTGTGCGGGGAAGATCAGAGCCACATGGTGCTGTGTGTGTGCTTGTGTGCGGCACACTGCATCAAAGCGCGGGTAGGTACCATCAACTCTTGGGGGAGTGTAGTTGGCATTGACTAGTTAAATATAAATTATAAATATATTATTTTAAAAATCAGAAGTAGTTGTCAGAAGGTGTCAAATGTGGGTTAAGAAACTTTCTCTATGGGAAAGAAGCTATAACGGTAGGTGGCACGGAAAGACCAAGACCCAAGATTGATTTACTTTTTCATTTTGATGTCCTCAGAGGCCAAAAATGCTTTGTTTGTGAGTAAACAATAGCTTGTCTTCTGATTTTTAAAACCAAACAGTAAAGTAAACATTTTAAAATTAACCCTAAAATACTAGAAGTCTCTGATTTATCTTCAACCTACTCTCTGAAGTAGTCATATTGTAGTATGAAATATTAGTGTTATGCTTTTTTACTTTTTACTGTAAATAATTAGCCCCTGTAATAATTAGCCTGTAATCTATTAGCCCCTGGACTTTCTCTGGTAAGCTAGCTGAACTCTCTTATTCGTTTGAGTAGCAACCGGTTTTGATACACTAAGATGTCATCGTTTAGCCCTACAATGTGAAGTTGTTGCTTCCAGGAGATCAGTCTTGAAAACATATGAACAAAATACAAACACAAATACACAAACTTTTACAAACAGAAAACTCCATGGCCATGCAACTAATAAATTATTATGTGGTGGCTGCGGATCCAAACCTTTAGTTTAGTCTACCTAAGTTGAAGTCAAAAAGTCAAGGTATTCTTACCGATTATTTGATGACTTATGTTCCAGGTGTAGTCGTTGGGGTATTTGAACAAGTGTTTTGGCTTATCAAAGACCCATTGACGAATAACACATGGAAAATCAAACGCAACCAACTGCGCCTAACCAGTAAAGAGAGGACTGTGATGCCGACGTTAATAGAAGGAGAGATCACGAGACAACTGTTACCTATTGAGAGCCCAGACTAGGTTAAGATTGTATGGAAATTTATCCTCTATGGGTATTAAAATTAGATCAATATCAATTCCAATGTGTCGTAAAAATGCAAATCAGATTTGAAGAGTATTTTAAATTCTGAATTAACCGTTTTTGATCTATGAGACACTTTTAGGTCATTTGTATAGGTCGGCCGGCTGTACTGATCGAGTATGCACAGCTGTTTGGATAAATTCTTATCAGTGTTCCTGCTACTTAAAAGTCCACTGTACTTTAGTATTGTTAAAAATACACTTTACTTAAACCTGTGCTTCTTTCACAGCTCCAAGCCGCATCATTATTCACTAAATATTTTGTCAGCTGTATTTACACCAGAGTTGACAACAATTTTTAAACATATGTTTACAGCAATCCAAAGGAAGCTCTAATACAAGGCCTAGGTGAGAAAAAATAGCATTGCCACAGACCAAGGCCCCACTAGAAAAACAGGCCATGCTGCAGGATCCATGACGTCACACTAGTGGATAGATTTCATTGATAAATTCATTGCCATTGCCATTCCCATATGTTTTAGGTAACTAAACAAGCTAGATGTTTGTAAGATTTTAATGTTAAGAGTTTAGTACAACTATCAACCACTGTGACGTAGTGTTGCGCTGCCCGTGCTGCAGCATGGCCTGTTTTTTTTCTAGTGGGGCCTTGCACAGACCCGGCTTACCAATACAGCTGTTGCACTAATTCATAAAGGAGTGTCTGCACAATGTTTATTTTTACACATTTGTTATTACTTGTATTGCCATCGCAACATACTGGGCGGTTAGACGTTGCCACACTCCAACGACGTTCTATTAGTGGAGGCTATGCTGGTTAAAAAAGATGTTGATGTTTTGACAGTTTAGTGTGTTTATGACTGACATTTGGTTTTTCAAAGAGCGTTGTTGCTTACAGTTTTTTTGGTTTTACGCCCTTTTTACACTGAAAGTAGCAACAAAATGTTCTAAACATTTGTCGACGTCATATTAAAACATTATGTGGCAAATTCCAGTGTGAATGATGCTTTAAAAATGCAATTACTGTCTGTCAAAATTACTTTCAATTAAAAAAAAAAAATCCTTAAGATGAAACAGATACTTTTTGTAGTATCTATTCTTTCTACTGACATTTTAAAACCTTGTGCATTGTTTTCTTTGTTACGTATTTGTTTCTCATTATTTTTACTTTTACATTGTACATGTGTTTGTAAATTAAGTAAATACAATTCAACAGATAGGTAGATGTAATTATTGAAAATCTATCAGTGTGACAAAATTACTGTTAAGAGCAATTAGAGAATAACAAAGATGGCTAATTTACTCACTCATTATTAGTAACAGTTACAGTTATTTAACTTGTGTCACAAATTTTAAAAAATAGTTGGTTAAAAATTATTTTCGAATAGTCGATAGGTTTCTAATAGACTTCTTAACCAAATTGAAGCATAATAAACTAATTAATCAAATACATCAATGATATGTTTCATTTATTTACTGATTGGTTTTATTAGAGGCACCCATTTAGGTATCAATGCGATTTTGTTTACATGTGCTGTTTGTTACAAAAAACACGTTTCTGAAGGAAATTAATTATGATTTGTTAAATCAAAAGGTTAAGTTGACATAGTTTAAACTTTGACTGATTTTGATTATCAAGGGAGTGATATTTTTTTGCCTTAGATATATAGCCTCGTTCCTACTGAATATACTGTATGTTTATTGTATATTTTGTATATGATGTATATAATGTTGATATAAATAAATTAAGTAATACTAGTCAAAGAAAGTTAATATTTTATGCACCTTTTAGGATTCCCTGTTACAGATGCTATCTATTTTTTTAGTGAATTTCCCATATGGGGGATTTTTAAGTTAGTGTGTAAAATGAAAATGTTAAAATTCAAATGATTATTATGGACTATCAGTTACTGTTGTAGTTTGATTAGGGATATATTTTTTCCCATATTTGGAGAAGTTGTTTATTTCATAAAGCTATTAACATTTCAATAAAAACACACCTTATTGCTTTTCCTGTAGCAGCAAACGTAAATGGGCATACTCATTAAATTTGAAGTAAGTTAATATAAAATAAATTTGAGGAATTTAAAGGAATAATTTAGTAAAAATCCAACCAGGTAAATGGCAGAGAAGGGCAAAGGAACTGGAGAAAACGTAAATCAATCCTGTGTTTTGAAATCATCTATATTTTAACAGGTAATCGAATTAGCAGCTTAATTAAGCAATAAGAAAAAAGTCCTGTATGGACCTAGGACAGACCCTTAAGGTAGGTACCCCACCCTTGTGACTGAAGCCACGGAGGACCTGAAATGCCTCACACATCCAACACTATCAACAGCTGTTAACTCAACAACCTGTTTCCTTCCTTTAAGGAAGGTTGAAAACCATTCCAAGGTCACACCTCTGATACCCAATGCTTGAGTTTATTCAGCAGCAGATAATGGACAACCAAGTCAAAAGCTTTACTTAGGTCGTAGAACACACCCGAATAACGGGTTTTGGCGTCAAGCTTCATGACTATTTTGTTGACCAAGGAGAATATTGCACTTGTGGTGCCTCTGCTCTTTAAAAATCCATGCTGATCTTCGAAGAGGGTTCTGTTGACCGATAAAATAAGAGCTGAACAATAGAGATCAACCACGGCCACCTTTAACGCAGAGGCGGAATTAGAACAGTCACAAGGGGGGGAGAGCGAACCAGGGGGTCTGGGGGATTTGGGGGTATCCCCCCCTCGAAAATTAGGGCAAACTAAGTCTACAAAATGGCAGATTTATACCATTTCTTTGTCCAAAGTTAGTGTGACAAATTATTTTACGCAATTTGTATGCACTACTGTATTACATGAAGTAAAAATATATGTATATGTATGCCCGAGGGGGGGGGGTGGTCACCCACGGCCGCCTTTAACTACAGGCCGCGGCCTTGTAGAATTGGCAACGTTGCAAGTGGTGCTGTCCAGCCCCGGAAGTCCCATAAGATAACATGGAAAGCAAGTGACACCAGCTCAGTAATTTACGGATTATTTATTTAAATTTAAATGTATGATTAATGATTATAAATCCATTAAAATATTTAATATAAAACATATATAGTGTTCTAAACCAAAACAATTTTAATTGAAAATCTATTTCTACATTCAAACAGGAGTCGTTTTTTATAGCCCTAACCCACTAGCCCAGTGACCAATCCGTCCAATGTCCTACTCCTAGCCTATCCTATTCTAAAAAAATTCTCATTTCAAAACTAGGTAAGTTAAGCCCGGTTTTAGTCTTGTAGTTCAAAATAATTTATCTTCTCGCAACTCTGACTGTTCTGTTGGTTAGTAGGCTACTTGGTTTAAAGGAAAATGCAAGATTTACTTGACAGAAAGCAGGGCCGTCCAGAAAGCTCACTAACTTAGTAGCCTAGTAAACAAATATTCTGATAAGTTATACCAGTACCAGTAGCTTACTTAGTTGAGTTGACACCGAGCCAGTAACTTAGTTTGTACAATTTACAAATCAAACTAATAAGAGTTAATGACAAACGTCTTTGTGTTCAATAACGAAAATTCAGATGTTTTCCTTTATTTTTGTTGGTACACAACTACACAAGCCTTGATTAGCAATGTGTTTAAAATTCTTGTGAAGCTACAGTTTCACCCTAACCGTTGAAAGAAAAACCTCTAATCTAAAAACTCATTAGGCCTATTTCTTTTTCTAATGGCTTTACTTTGGTTGGACTAGGTAAGTTACAAGGATGATCAAACAAAAATTTTATCTCAGTCTCCCAAGCTGATTTAAGTTAGAGCTAATGTTAGGGGATATGGTAATTATAAATCACTTTTGAAACTTTAGAGTATTATGCCTAACTTAGGTAGGCCAAATAGTTTAGGCCCACAGGCCTGTCATTGGCATCTACTGGTACAGCTAAGCTAACACAAGCTTTGATATTTATTTATTTATTTATTACACACACGGCAAACGCCATTTTACAGGAGAGTTGAGTTGAGATTGATAGTTAGTGCGATCAATAATTAAATATTTTAACAAATATGAAATACTAATAAATAATATGAAATATAATAGTAGTGGTGAACCCAGAAAGATACCCCACTTTCGGCGTTTTGGAGGCACTTTTAGGGCACTTTTTATAGGGGAAAAATGAGAAAAATGAGTGGCTCATTTTTTTGGCCACTTTTTTAAAGACCCAGCTCTTGACCTATACACCTCTATATAAATTTTCTACTTTTTTAATACTGAAAAACACGTCTGGAATATGGCTCATTTTTTTGGCCACTTTTTAAAAAATCCAGCTTTTGTCCAATACACCCCTATATAAATGTTCAAACTCTATTAACATTTCAAATCCACATCTATTCACATGTATATTCTCAAAATCATGTGAGATTTGCACGCGAACTCGGGCGCGCTCCCAGCTTATGATGTGCTCCCTTGGACATCCTTAGTGGAAATCCATGAGTTCTGGCTACTTGGGAACCCAAGCCATTTGACATACAACGAATCACCCTTTCTCCTAATTACCTTCTCTACCAAATACATGTCCTTATACTTGGTCTTTAACAACTCCTCTGTATAGAAGCCTCCCCTGATTATATTGCCATTTTCATCTTTCAAGATATAAGTCACAGGCTTTGTATTCTTCTTCTGCTATTGTAAATAGTTCCCCTGTCCAATTTGGAGTATAACCTTTACTAAAAACATGTTTATACTTGGAAATCCTTACGCTATCACCTACCTTATATCTTGGCTTTTTAACTTGCACTACTTTAGAAGTCAACCTCTCATGCACATATTTACTATTCTTAACATTCACTTGGTTAGGCTTCATTCCTATAGATCTATGTGTCAAATAAAGAAGTTTTATATTGATTAACAATTTTTATCTTAGGAATAAAATGTTACCAACTGAATTATTTGTAAATACAAAACAACAACAATCTCCAGATGATCTTAATAATAACTAGGGTTGCTTTCAGAGAGGTGAAAGCCAGTTGAGCGGAACAAACGTGATTTGATATTTGTATAAAAGTAACTAAATGTAAAAAATCAATAGATGCTGGTTTTATTGATTAAAATTATAATAATTCAGACTTGTTTTTACTACATCTTGTTATTCAGATACCTCTTCCAAAAGTGCATTATAGTAGTTTTGACCAGGAAAATATTATCAGTTTATTTGGTGCAACACAAATCCCAAGTAGCATAACAATGTTGTTGTCAACATTTAATCAACATTAATTTAATATTGCCCCAATATTGATCAACGTGGTAACAATATTGTTACAACGTTTTCGTGAAACAAAATACATTGTCTTGACAATGTTGTCTTAATATTTTTCAACGTTGTTTCAATGTTGTTTTCAACATTTAAACAACATTCATTCAATATTGCCCAAATATTGATCAATGTGGTAACAATATTGTTACAACGTTTTCGTGAAACAAAATACATTGTCTTGACAATGTTGTCTTAATATTTTTCAACGTTGTTTCAATGTTGTTTTCAACATTTAAACAACATTCATTCAATATTGCCCAAATATTGATCAATGTGGTAACAATATTGTTACAACGTTTTCGTGAAACAAAATACATTGTCTTTACAATGTTGTCTTAATATTTTTCAACGTTGTTTCAATGTTATATGGAAATATTAAGCCAATATTAAGACAATTTTGAAAAAAATTTAGAAATAATCAATTAACAATATTTTGATTATTGTTTTTACAACATTGTTAAAGTATTTTTGTATCGGCTGTATTATCCTGTCAATATTAAGCTAATATTTTAAAAAATTCACAAAATAATTGTTAAACAATCTAAGTATTCAAAATGCTTCGGCCTGCATAAATGCATAATAAAAATGTCAAAACAAAAAAAACTCATTTTAGGTAATACTCTATTGACTGACAAAACTATTATTAATATATTATTTTATTCTTGAATAACAGTAGGCTATGCTATTTCATAAAATCTGCAAAAAGTATTTCTGTGGAATATTGTTGACATAAGTTGTATATTTATTTCAAGAAAAAGGTAAAATATAACGTCACAATTTAAAAATATTTTGTTTATTCTTTCACAAAGCCCAAAATATACATTTTTTATAGAAGGTCAAATCACAAAAGTAAAAGAGACCAAAAAACCAAGCGAACAAAATATTCTTATAATATATCAAATCTGTAAACAAAAGTAAATCACTTTCAAGATTTAAAAATTAATAACTGTAGGCTCAATGTATAGGCCAAAGTAAATCACTTTCAAGATTTAAAAATTAATAACTGTAGGCTCAATGTATAGGCCTAGTGATTGTTGAAAAGTGTTTATATCTTCGCTGACATCTCCATAGGCCCGATTCTCTTCGACTGTAGCGGCATCCTTCCCTTTCCTAAAAAAAAGTCTTTGTGTCAAGTTTATTTTGCATGGGAATTGGGAGTATCTGAAAGTATAGAACAAGAACAGCTGCTATTTCATGTTGTTGAGGGTTGGATAGAGCTTATGAAGTACATCAGGCATGTTTGATCTATGTTCCACGCTCTCACAATTTTTATTTCAGCTAATACTGCGGTTTCAATGTAGACGAAATGAGAGTAAAAAAATGAAAAAAATATAAAACCTAACCGTCATAAACTAACATAACTAACCAAACTTGCTAATAATATAAAAAGAGATATAAGATAAAAATCTAATGAAGGTTTACTACCTATTCGAAAAAATTGTTCTGTTCATAAAATAAAATTATAAATGCCTCAATTTCTAACAAAAAATAAAGTAATCACATTCTAAGCAAAATCTTTAACAAAAAGTTAGTGTCACTGGAGGGATTCAAACTGGATAACTCTTAGACAACGTTTGAGTACTCTATCCACTACACAACATCGATAGTTGAACTTCGTATCGTTGCGCTAATGGTGTTCTCTCAAGAGAAGAGAGTGACGTCAGACCATGACAGCCAATAGAATGTTCTCATTTCGTCCGTATTGAAAACCGCAGCTGAAATAAAAATTGTGCCTCATGGCCCTGGCCCACTTTAAAATAACTATTTTAAGGTTAAACCTAGCCTTGGAGATTGTTAATGATTTGCAAGGTCTGTAATTTAAATACTCCCTTTTCCACTATTTTCTCCACTGTCAAAAATTTTTTCATATTACCATTGACTAAATTGTTGAATAGGGCCTACTTGTATTAATAGCCAAATATAATACAAGACCTATATTAACCTATATTATGTATGAAAGGCATGTATTTAAAAATTTAGTTAGGCAGAGAGTCAGAAGAGAGTATAAAGGCTTATTTATTTACTCTTATACAAGCTTCAAATTATCTAGAAATATTTTAATATTGCTATTTATTGCCTTATTTTTAGTTAATGAAAACAAAAACTTAACATAAACAATGCGGTAGGCTGTTGTAAAATTAGTCATTCGAGAAACGATTTCCTAAACATACAACAAAACCAAAAGCTATTTTTTGCCATTATATCAAACCGTATATAGGCCTACCAATATATTTTTCAAACCGGTAGTCAATATATTTCTTGGCTACCGTACTTCAAACATTAGGTGTCAGAGAGAATCTTTTTTTTTATTTTTTTTTAGTGAAATGATCAAATTTGTTTAATCTTTTTAAGAGGGTGAGCAAATTTTCGTACAAAAACGCCACGTACTATCGGTTCAATAACGAAATACTAAGTATTTATATTATTTCGGACCAAATAGGCTCGATCCAATCGATTAATGGTTGAATGAATACATACAGGGTGTCCCGGAACTCTCTACCAATATTTTAGGGCATTGCTCCTGGGTAAGAAACATACCTAAATATCATATTTAAATTGTCCGGAAGTCCTTAGTTACTCACACAGCCGCCATTTTGTTTTTTTCACTTATTAATTTTTTTCTAAGGAGTGGTTAAACATACAAAATTGAAACTTTGCACAAACATTTATGACAACTAGACAAAGCTACAAAAAAATTATGACGATTTTTCATATTCATAAAACAAAATGGCGGCCATTTAAAATTTTGTTTCTTAAATAGCTCAAACACCGTTGATTTTATAAAAATTTTAAATAGCCGCCACTTTGTTTTATGAATTTGAAAAATCTTCATAATTTTTTTGTAGCTTTGTCTAGTTGTCATAAATGTTTGTGCATAGTTTCAATTTCATATGTTTAACCATTCTTTAGAAAAAAAATTAATAACTAAAAAAAACCAAATGGCGGCTGTGTGAGTAACTAAGGACTTCCGGACAATTTAAATATGATATTTAGGTATGTTTCTTACCCAGGAGCAATGCCCTAAAATATTGGTAGAGAGTTCCGGGACACCCTGTATAATGAACACTGTTACCGTACCGCAACGGTACGAAGTGCTGCCATCGGTGTTCGAGGTGAAGTGGATAGTGTTCGGCTCATAATCAAATACTTATCAGATCGAATCCCACCGGTGACACTAACATTTTGTCAAAGATTTTGCTTAGAATGTGATTACTTCTTAACTGTACATCTTTTTTTAGAATTTGAGGCATTTAAGTTATAATTTTATTTTATGAACAGAACAATTTTTTCGATAGTAAACCTTCATTTGATTTTTTCATTAACAGCATGTTTGGTTAGTTAGGTTAGGTTATGACAGTTTGCAAAATCACATGGCGTTTTTAGACAAAAAAGTGCTCACCTTGATAGCCTACCTAGTTTTTACCATCTGGTCAGCCTACTTTACTAATCGATCTTGGCTGAGATTACCTACAACGTAGCCTCATCAGACACAACACTCCCTATGATTATTAATACATGTTTTGTGATTTGATTAATCTAGTCAAACGATAGGCCTAGCCATACAATATGATATAAAGCAATTATTAATATTTAGACAATTACATGCAATTGATACTGTCATGAAAGCTTGAAAAGCACAAGTCAGTCATACAACAGTAAAATATGATACATTAAAGCAAAATAAGTTAATAAGTTCATTGTACTAAAAACCAAATAAGAGTACTGATAGCTATATTTTAGAAAAACATCATGCAAGATTAATAGAGCTAAAGTCCGCTTTGAAAAATCTTTAAGTCTGTAAAAGGGCCTTACAATACAATCAACCATGCATACATCACATTCTTAAAACTATCTAGGCTAACATGCTGAGCTGACAGAGGAAATCAATTGAAAAGGCCAATTACCTGTAGCTTCAAAGGATGTTAGAAACTTGGTCAGTCTTGTGTAGAGTCTACTGATTTTATTTTGACCTCGTGCCCCATGGTTTTATACGTGCCTGTGAAGAATGAGAGTGTTTAAGTTAAGGGATTTTTGTATTTATGTAACTTAAGACACCTGCAAAAATGTACAGGTTGATTACTGTTTGAATTAGGCTTTAATTACTGCGCCATATTCATAAGCAGTGCGACTAAGTTAAAACAAACAAATAAGAATAGCCTATATAAAGTACAGCAAACCTTGATCGGAACAGAGCAAGTTAGGCCTACCAACAAATTAATGTAAGTTAGTTAGGGGTACTTTCCTGTTAGAGAGACATTCATTATTATTGATGATTTTACGATCTTAGTTTTGGTTAACGAAAACAAAAACTCAACATAAACAATGCGGTAGGCTATTATAATATTAAAGAGTAATTTAATGGTACCTATTAACTAAAATAACAAAACCCAACTACACTAATGTAAAGTGAAATGTAAAGTGATGATGTTAACAACTGATATTTTAGTTTAAAATATCTTTTTGGTCTAACTTATAACTGATATTAGGCTACTGTAGTTGTAATGGTAAGTTAGTGGTTGAAATTAACTTAGTAACTTAACCCTCCAAGTGTCTCTACTTTTGGTCTTAACGTTCGCCCATTTATTGCGCAATCGCAGGGTTTTATTAAAATGTATCTTAGATACTTAAAAACAATGTAAAGTAAGTTATACTGTTTTATATATCATTTTGTTTGGAAAATTATGGGCTTCAAGGTAGGCCCTAACATATAAAACATTACAAAAAAAAATTTCAACAATTTTTGTGGGGTTAACATTTCTCAAAAATTATAAAATAGGCTAAATGAAAAAAATTATGTTTGCGCTCAATAAGTTGTTATAATTTATCGGTCTACAAATATTTTAAAATAGCCACTTTGTTCAGAATTTTATGAGGATTCCAAAAATATAATAATATAAGGAAGTAGATTTGAAAATAAATAAGTTAAGTTATGGGCAAAAAACCGATTTCGGTACATAGCGTTTAGCTAAGAATGCATAGCCTAACCATAGCTAGGAATCTGGCTGATAATTTACATTAATATCACTACCTACTTCTTCAGGATCATCAACCAGCCCTTCAAAATCACTTAAATCTTCTTATAATGCGCCACGTATATCACTACTTTTGATTTTAACACTAAAACAATGATAAACGTAATTAAACACATCAGTCATCGGTGCGAGGTTAACCAAGCTGTTTACAAATACGCACGTCAGCTGTCTGCTACAATATTTTCGGAACTAAAATGAAGAAACAGACATCAGGAGAAAGCTCTGAATCTGCTGAAAAAAATTATACCTTACTCGATCCAGTTCAATCCGATTCAGCCAGTCCCAGAGCCGTCGCCGTAAACAGTGTTTGTGAGTCGCAAAAGCGACACATAACACCACAGCGGGTGTGTTATGAGTCGCTTTTACGACACATAACACTCGGAGGGTTAAGGTAGAGCCTACCGTAAAATCAATTTAGGCCCTAGCATAAAAGTTATTTTAGGTGTTAAATAACATATGTACCGGTATTGTTATTCTGCCTCGTGCCTGTGAAGAATGTGTGTTTAAGTGCTTTTTGTATGCAAGAGACAAGCAAAAATGTACAGGTTGGTTACTGTTCGAGTTAAGTTAAAATTACTGCCATAACTTAATCATAAGCAGTGTGACTAAGTTAAGTCATAACAAACATAAGAATAGCCCATAAGTTAAAGTACAGCAACCTTGACCGGTACAGAACAAGTTAGGCCTGCTACCAACGAATTAAATAAGTTAAGGCTAAGTTAGTTAGGTACCTATGAACTAAAATAACACAGATACCCAACTAAAGTGATACGGTAATGTTAACAACTGATCTTTCAGTTTTAAAATAATTTTAGTATAAACTTAACTTTTTACTGTTAAGGCTACCTACTGTAAGTAGTTGTATTGGTAGGTTAAGCTACTTAACTTTAGAGGTCGAAATTAGCGAAATTAGTGTAGTAAAATCGATCAATGCAGGCCCTAGCATTAAAATTAAGTTATTCTTGGGATTAAATAACTTATCAAGTTGTTCCGCTTAAGTTATAAAAAGGCCAACGGTAACTTAACGTAAGTTAGGCCTAGGCCTACTTTAAATTTACAAATTATTGACCAATTCATAGGATAATTAAATTGTAGCCTACTTTGAAGTTGTAAATTGGCTTTGGTATGTAACGTAAGTTTAGGTAAAATAATATTGACATCCTAGGCTAAAATATGTCAAAGGTTACACTGCAATGGCAAAACAGGAAAACGCATTTTCGTCTAAATTAAGGTTAGGTAAAAAAGATGTGAGATGATTCAAGCCTTGGAGATGATTAACTTATAACTTCAATTTTCTGGGCAAATGCATTCACAATGATCTCAATGATTAGGCTAGGTTTTACTTTTTCTTTCAGCATTCAAATGAGTTTTTTTTGTTTGCTTATAAATATTAGCCTTATAGGCCTAACTTATTTAGCCTACATAGCCTTGCATACTATCACACTTACATATTTTATTTGTGTGTTAACAATTAATTATCAATTATCAATTATTTAAGATGGGGACGCCACTATGTGCGTATTTTAACCCAAATATGAGTGAAGGATGAGTGGCGCGATCTTGTAGTCTTGTTAGTGACTAAGGCCGACATGTTCCTTAGACACAGCTGTTAATTTTAATAGCCCATACAGCTAATGGCAACTAAGGGACCTACAGTTTATAGTGGAATCCGAACCAAATTTTTCCTTGTAATTTACGAATTGGTCTAATTATCAGGATAGTACTGCGGATAGTCGTAGTACTCACTAGTGCGGACGTTAATCCACACCAGTGAGCATCGCATCCACAGTGCATCCCTATAAATATCCACAATTCGTCAATCTTAGCAGTCGGTACTGCATTTGTAGGTTAAAAGATTTTAATAAATTAGGCTTGGCTCTATTAAGTTACGACTAGAGTGCAAGCCTAGCCTACTTTGATATGTAACTATGAATGCAAAACTTAACTTCATAACAAGATGCACTTACCTTAAAGCTGGTATCTCAAGTTGGCCACCATTAAAAAACTGTATTCATCCGTAAATAATTGTATTATTATACATCAGAATCTCAAAGCAAAGGGAAAATACAATCATTGCAACATGGTGTGAAGTGAAATAAAAATTACGAGATTGAGACTAGGACTAGAGATGATTGATTGAAATGAAAGATGCTCTGGAGCTGCCGAGTGCCGTGCCGATGATGGAAGATGAGATGACTCGATGAGATGAAGAAGATGGATGCTACCATTGCTACCATGCTAGTTTGCTAGATGCTAGCTAATAGATAGATCCATTCGCGCGCGTTTTAATGGCGCGCACAAGAAAATAGTTCTAATTTAAATTGAAGATATTTTTGTTTCTACCCGTTTGGGTAGAATTTTTATTTTAGTATTTTGTTTTTAGCATCAACCTTATTCCCTTTATTACTTAATAAAAGCCTAGTTTATATTTATTTTGATTTTCAGGATGAGCTGAGTCCATAAACAGTTTTCAATCTTATTAATGTTGTTTCAATGTTGAAATAAAAATTATTTCAACATTATTCAATATTGACAACAATGTTTTCAATAAATGTTGATCAATGTTGGGAAAATAATGTGTTAATGTTGAAATAATGTTTTTTCAACATTAATCAATATTATCAAACAATATTTTCATAAAACGTTGATCAATGTTGGGAAAATCTTGCTTCAACATTAAAACAATATTCTCAGAACAATATTGTTGACAATGTTAAGCAACATTATTTCAACATTTTAACAATATTGTGTTGCTACTTGGGAAACAACTCGATCACCTACCTATAACCATAGATAAAACATACTCGCTATAACCTACACTTTACCTCCCAAATCTAACCTTATTTCAAAACATGTAGTCACGAATACTTATAAACCCCGACCTACCTTCCCCACATGCCTAAATTAGACCAGTGTTCAATCTGCGTTTTATTAATAAGTGTAATAACTTACTGCACCGTCGATGTAATTCAACATAATATAACCTGTGATGTGGTATCGGATTAAATATCGATTTCAATTCGGTTCAATATATCGCTTATTAAATCCTGATTTCTAACATTGGCTGTTTCTGATCAGCTGGCAACACAAATAGGTTCCCAAGAAAGTAGTCACTGGTTCTCTTGTTTACATTTTTCTTGTAAACAAAAAACTGTCATATGGCTACTTTAGTCCCATAAGCCTAATGTTAAAATTTGGAAATTTTAAGTTCGTTTTAAATTGCATTAGCATTATCTAATTGAAATTTGTTTGTTTATTAACCATCTCACTATTAGTCTAAGTAATCTTGTTAAGTTTAGCTGAAATGTGTTCTGCCGTTATTGAGTGATGTTGCTTTATTTGTTGCATTGAAGTTGATCCCAAAGAGCTACGCTCAACTAAATAAATATAAAAGAACAACAAACATATGACATCTTCTCTTCCCTTTTTTTAAAGACACGTTCTTCTTGGTGGATTTATTTGTCTACCAAATGAGGAAAAACAATTAGGCTCAGTTCCAGGGTCATCAGATGTTTTGGGTTGTAGTTGTCTTAGCATTACCCCGTTGCGACGTAACATGCCTTCGTTTGTCTTAACTGTGTATGATCTTGGAGCTACTTTATTAACTATCTTCCCATCTTCTCTCCTATCAGGAATATACACATTGCATCCAATAGTGAATTGCTTTTCATCTCTCACTCCATGCCGTTTATTGAAGTAATCTGCTTGAGTTGCTCTATATAGTTTGTCCAATTCTCTAAATGTCTTGTGATCTACCATTTTAGGCTTGAGATCTTTCGTCAATGACGGTAGTCGGGTTCTTAGTCTTCTTCCCATCAACAATTCCGAAGGGCTGCACCCTGATGGACCTGGTGTTGACCTGTACTCCAGTAATGCAAGAGTGGGGTCTTTGTTCTTTGTAAGCATCTTTTTAAGCGTTTGGACTGCTCTTTCAGCTTCACCGTTTGCCTGATGGTGTAAGGGACTACAACAAATAGTTTTAAACCCAAAATCGGCTGCAAAGGCTCTCCATTCTGAGCTTGTAAACTGTGAGCCAGAATCAGAAATTACGATTTCAGGGATCCCATGTCGAGCAAAACAGGCTTTCATCTTCTTGATTAGTTCATCTACAGTCATTGTGGACACATTTATCATTTCCAAGTACCGTGAATAATAGTCCACAACAGCCAAGTATTTGCCTTTCACAAAGTCAAAGTAATCAACTGCTATTCTTTGCCATGGATAGTCAGGAGTGTCTGATTGAATCATTTTTTCTGACTTTTGGTTTTGGTGTTTAGCACAAGTGTCACAATTTTCAATCAAGTTATTTATCTCTGTTGTAATTCCTGGCCAAAACACAGATTGTTTCGCTCGGAGGACTGTGCGTGTAGACCCGAAATGACCATCGTGCAGTTTATTAATGATATCTTTTCTAAGTTCAAATGGGATAATAATTCTTTCTTTATAACATATCAAGTCTTCTATTATAGATAGGTCGTCTTTAAAGGTATACCACTTTCTCATACTCTCTGGCACATCCTTCTTATATTTAGGCCATCCATTTTCTGTGTATTTCACCAACATCTGACATTCTTCACACAGGATCTGGGCATTCTTTATTTGTTCCAATCTTGACTGTGTTGCTGGAAAGTTTAAAGATATTACCTTAATGTGTGCCTCTACCTCTTTTGTGAACTCATCTGTAGAATCTGGGATCGGCGCTCGGCTTAATGTGTCTGCTGTAAACATTTCTTTTCCGGGAATGTGTTCGATGGAGTAGTAAAATTTCATCAATCGCATTTTGAATCTCTGAATCCTAGCTGGTATTGTGTCTAGGTCTTTGCTTCCAAGGAGTGAAACTAATGGTTTGTGGTCTGTTAGGATTCTAAATTTTTTTCCAACTAAAAACTTAGAAAACTTTTCTGCGGCCCATGCACATGCAAGAGCTTCCTTTTCTATCTGGGCATATCGTCTTTCACAGTCCCCCTAGTGGAAGAGATCAATATATATCAATACAAAAATTGTATATTGATACTTATTGATGTGTATGTGTATTTGGGCCAATACACATCAATACACATCAATACATATCAATACAAGTAAATAGGATCCGAGTCATTAGCTTATTTGAAAATAATTTGTAGCTTGTTAAAAAACCATTTTTAATTTGTTTCAAAACATTAAATAATATCAACTATGCACTAAAAATAAAATAAAAATAAAAAAGTAAAAAAATTCTTGGCAAAAAGTCCAGTGGGTTCCCGAGATTTGAACCCGGGACTCCAGCATGGAAGCCGGTTGTCTTAGCCATTACACCACGGACGCTTCATATGGAATTGAGTAATGATAGCAATTTTGAATGCGAGAAGCTGTGTTAGGCCTCATAATTAACTTTAAAAAGATGTTCAATGGCATTTGTGTCATTTCAAGCATGTACTTATATGCTTTAACATGTTTCAAAACTGTTTTATTACCAGTTCAAACTGTTTTCTTGCTACTTGGGTGATATGAATAGTGTCAATACAATTTATTTTTATTGATTTCTAGAAATAAGGAATTCAATAATGAATTTGTGAGCCATTTTTATCCCTAACGATAACCTAATAAGCAAAAAAATTGTTTAAAGTTGTCGAAAGCTGTATTACAATAATTGTTGTATAAAAATTTTAAAACATTTTTATATAAACTTCATATTACAACAATTTTGATATAAGATTGAAACAATTTTAAAATTGTTTAACAATAAGTTTTTTGGAGTTTAAAAAAATAAGTTTCAATACGAGCTGTAACGGTTTTACAACAATTTTAAAATTGTTTTACAACCACTTTTTTGAAGTTCTAAATCAGTTTTAATACAAGTTGTAAACTGTTTTACAACAATTTTAATGTTTAGAACTAGAGTTTTTCCTTTTTTCAAAAAATAACATTTTTATAACTGTTTATTTCACAAAGTTTACATTGGTATTTTGTATAATCCATAATGTTCATATGTGATACATTTTATAGATATTTTGCATTTTATTTATCCGTATTGATGTCTATTGATTTATATTTACATCTAACATATTTAAAAAATATTCTCTATTGATATCAATGAACGATTTGTTTGCTCAAATGATCTATATTGATATATTTTATGTTTATAGATGTCTAGTGATATGTATTGACTAAGTTTTCAGTGATGTCTATTTGTTTGTATTTACTTGTAATGATATCCATGAACATCTATTGATATCACTAAGCATCTAGTGATATCAATAGATTTTTTCTATTGATTTCTATTGATGTCTTCCACTAGGGCCTGTAAGGTCCTTGAAGCAAACATCACTACTTTGGGAGATTTATCTTCAACCTGAAGTAACATTGCACCCAATCCATATGCTGATGAATCGGCTATAACAATAGATTCAGCATTTACATCATACTTAGTTAAAGATATTGATTCATTGACGGTCTGTATAATGTCTGAAAGGGCTTCTTGATGTTGACTTGTCCAACAAAATTGTCTATTCTTTCTAGTAAGCTCACGGAATGATTCAGTTTTATCAGCTAAGTTTGGAATGAACTTGTTCAGTTGATTCAACATACCATTTAATCGTCGAACTCCCGCAATATCTTTAGGAGGGGGAAGTTCCTCGAGTGCTCGTATACGATCAGGATCGACCTTGATACCATCACAGTCGATCAGGTTTCCAAGAAACTTCACAGATGTTTGGGAAATAGAACATTTTTCTTTGTTCAGTACAACCTTTGCTTTTTTTAAGCGATCTAATACTTGAGTGAGCCGGTAATCATGCTCCTCTTGTGTTCGGCCATGTATAAGTATGTCATCCATGTGACATAATACCCCATCGATACCATTTAAAAGTTTAAACATCTGTGTAGTGAAAAACTCTGGTGCGCTTGTAATGCCAAAGGGTAATCTCTTGAAATAAAATCTTCCGAATGGAGTAATAAAAGAAGTTAGTTTAGCTGTGTCAGGTGATATTTTTATCTGCCAAAACCCTGACTGGGCATCTAGTTTTGAAAATATTTTAGAGCGCCCAATTTGCCCTAGTGTTTCTTCTACATCTGGTAGTATTATCTTTGGCCGTTTAACATTCCTATTAAGTTCAGTGTAATCAACACACAAACGTAGACTACCATTGGGCTTGAGTACTGGTACTATTGGTGCACACCAGTCAGTTGGAGACTCTACTTTTTCTATCACTCCTAAGTCCAACATTCTGTTCAATTCTGTCTCCACTTTTGAACGTAAAGGAATTGATATGTTTCTTGGAGCTCGAACCGAGTGCGGTTGAGCGTTTTTGTTCAATTCAATCTTATATTCTCCTGGAATGCTACCCAGACCAATGAAAAGCTCAGGGTGGCTCGTTAATACAGAGTCTAAGGTAATTGAGTTAAGTCCTGCAGTATCAGCTTTTCTGAGGGTTATGAGATTTAAAGATTTAATCGCAGGAATTCAAAGTAAAGGTTCATTTAATCCTGCAACAACATACACCTTTTCTTTTACCATTTTCCCATCGTAAGCTATGTCTGCTATAAACATACCTCTTACATCTAGTTCCCTCTGATCAGCATTCCTAAGTATACGGTCAGATTTCATAAGTTTTGCATGAATTACATTTGAAGGAATGGCTGTAACTTCTGCGCCTGAATCAAGTTTCGCTTTAACTAACTGGTTATTGATAAATATTTCTACATACCAAGAACTGGAGTCATAGCATGAAGCATTCACAGGTCCTAAATATGCTACTGAAGCTTCAGTGTTGTCAGGCTTGTCCAAACGTCCTATTTCGTTGAGTCTCTTCGTGTTGTCCGTTGTTTTAGTCTCTAATAATCTGCTTCTGCAATGTTTGGCAAAGTGACCGATTTTTTGGCAGTAATGGCATGTTAAATCTTTAGCAGGGCATGGGGTGCATTGGACCTCCACAGTTCCAACAACATTCTTTCCTAGCTGTCTTTAAATCATGGGTTTTGTTAAATCTTGCACTTTGTTTTTGGTCTGATTTGATTCGGTCAACTTCTGCATGTTTTCCTTGGCATATCATTTCTAGTTCAGCTGCTTGTTTGCTGATGGACTCTTTTTGTTTGCATTTTTGAACTGCTTCTTCCAATGTAAGATTTGAATCTTCTTGTAATTGGGCCGATAAACGTTTATCAGTTATACCCACTACAATTCTATCACGTATTAGTTCTGCTTTAAGGTTCTTGAATGAACAGTGTTCGGCCATTGAGCTTATGTCTGCCAGAAATGTATCAAATAATTCATCTGGTTGTTGTGATCTTGAATTAAACTTTGCTCGTTCGTATATGACATTTCTTTTGCCAGTAAATATGTTGTCAAAGGCTTCTGTTACAGATTCATATGAGGCTTTGTCATCTTCTGAGAGGTGTGCTGTTGATAATATATCCTCAGAATCAGGCCCCATACAGTAAATCAAGCAGCTTACTTGTTTTACTTGAGGTTCATTGTCCAGTCCTGATGCAATTCTATACCTTTCAAATCGCTTAAACCACTTTTCCCATAACTCTGGATATTTGGAATCAAAAGGTTCAGGAGGTTGAAACATGACTGATGTAGTCCTATTTTGCTGCTGTCTTGGTTCTAGAACATTATGTGTTTCTGATGATTGATTTGATTTGTTTCCTCTGATTGATAATCTATTGTTTTTTGGCATTTTTAAAAAAACTAAACCGCTGCCACCATGTCAAATAAAGAAGTTTTATATTGATTAACAATTTTTATCTTAGGAATAAAATGTTACCAACTGAATTATTTGTAAATACAAAACAACAACAATCTCCAGATGATCTTAATAATAACTAAATAAATATAAAAGAACAACAAACATATGACACTATGCACCTTATTATTATATTTTCGAATTAACTTTGGAAGTAAATCCAACCATTTATAACTCCCCTGAGCACTAAATTCTCTATATAACCAATTCTTTAAAGTTCTCTGAAACCTCTCCACAATTGCAGCCTTAGTTGTAGAAAATGTGTGATAGTGATTAATATTTAATTTTTTCATTAGTTTGCTAAAATATTGATTAAAAAATTCTTTTCCATTGTCAGATTGAATGTTTTTAACCCCCTTTGGTAGAATGGTTTTAATGGCTTCTGTAACCACCAACCCTGTCTTATTCTTTAGTGGAGCAGCATAAGCTTTTTTAGAAAATGTATCTATTAAAGTTAAAATATATTTATTGCCAGAATTTTCTCTAGCATAGTTTTGCATATCAATTAAATCTATTTGTATGGTTTCGTTTATACCCAATACTTTAAAAGACCTTCTAATGAAATTCTTTCTTACAGGCTTATGAAGTTCGTATGCAATTTCATTCATTTTTTATAACATCATCCTTTCCTGTAACTCTAAATACATCACCATTAGCCCCAATCAATAGATTATCTTCCATTCTTTTAAATACATAGTTTTCTGGTATATATGGTCTATTATCTATATACTTAAATCCACTCAAAGATGTGGGGTCAGCAACTAATAAATCAGGATTATATTCCATCAAATTAAAATAGTTTTCTCCATATACAAATTTTGATCCATCGTAATGCATAGATTGTGACATTAAACAAATATCATCCAAATGTTCCCCCTCTGGTAGATTTCTTATAAATTGTTTTTTGGCATCCCAACATTTTTCTTTTTTATCAAAAGTTATAGTCTGTTCTTTTATAACACAGTCAGTGTCATCAATGGCAGGTTTAACACGTACTAACCTTTTACTATTAAAACTCCAATAGCCTGCTTCCATTTTTGGAACTTGTGAAAC